CCTTCGCAACAGCCTCGTGAAGCATTCCTCTGATTTCGAAAACGATCTGGTTCACAGCAACACGCGCCGCCCAATGATCGAAAGAACCCTTTCCCTTACCCATACGCATCTAGTCCGGGAATCAGCACCTGACTATCACTCATAATTCCTCATCATCCGCCTTACCTCGTTACCAGACACATAGACACCAACGTTGCAGCACACTCTCTTGTACAGCCGGTACTTTTGACCACGTAATCTCATCTTAATCGTATCTTCAGCGTTCTTGAGCTGCTTGGCGCTGATTCTTCGGTGGTGATCCTTCATTCGGAGACCGTAGTCGCCCCAGATGACAGTTGTGCCCTTGGTCGATCCTCCCGTAGCCACACGAGGACGTCCTTTCATCATTTTCTTCGTTCGGTCGATCGAGGGCTCGAGCCATGTGCCCTGCGCTGCAGGTGTCGTGGAAAATGGGCGAGCATCGCGGAGGATCTGGGATGCGACCAGCGGCTTCGTCAATTGAGGTCGGATCGCGGCCCTGAGAGGGCTGACTATCGGTGTCGCAGATATTCTGAGGCCTTGGAAGGCGCTGAGCAGCGCCGTAGGAGCGGTAGACCTCATGTTTGCGAATTGCCGATGAACGTCGTTGATGATGGGATCTCCAAAAAAATGTCCCTAGCTTCACGAGAGCTTGGGTGTGGCTTAGATGGCCTGAGATGTTGGGCGATAATTTTGCTGAGGCTTTGCCTGGAGCTGCTGCGCCACAAGCACTCTAAAGTGAACTGACCGGGGTCACAGACCTCGCGTCACTTTCGCGTAGCAACTGGAAATCCATTACGTGCACGCTTCTCGACACCAGGCACGGCGACCTCGATTGGTCTCTTCGTCTGTCAACCTCCAACATCTCCAGGCAACAGCAGCCCAACTTTCGATATAAATCTGTCGCTGCTCTCTGCAATCACTCAACGAAACAGAGGTGACAGCACATAACGCAATGCCTGATATTAGGTCATTCTTTGGGCCGAAGGGAGGCGGGCCCCCGAAGCCACTGCCAAAAAAGGTCGAGGAGCCCCCAAAGGCCCGAAGGGGGAGGAAGGTCATCGAGGACAGCGACGATGATGCCGAGCCTACTCCTGCGCCGTTAGTCAATTCCGAACCCTTGCCTTTGAAAACAAAGCTAACTCGTCCTAGAAAGCCGGCTACAAAAGCTGCTGTCAAGAAGAAGGCTAAGTACGCGAATCATATTACCCTCTTCATCGATTGCTTCTGACTCTGTGGCAGAGACGAGGCTGCAAAGGGAACTGAGACGACAGCTAGCGATTACTTTGCATCATCGAAATCTTCCAAGGCGGCTAAGCCTGCACCCGCCGTAAAGCCAGACCAAGCAGCTAAAGTAAACACCGAAGTCGAGATCAGGACCAGTCCACGCAACAAGAAGACAACTGCGAAACCTGTAGAAGAAACCCCCAAGAAGCGGGCCGCTAGAACGTACACTAAAATCGAGTCCGATGACGATGCCGATGCATACAAGGACGAGGACGACGAGGATGACGATGACATCTTCGCTGCTGATGTAAAGGGTCGCAACAAGCGAAAGACTGACGACTATGCGGAGGACGAGAGCGACGAGGATATTCAACCAAAACCGAAGCGTGTAGCCTCTCGAAGTGCCGCCAATGGGACTCCAAGCAAGAGCACGAGGGCAGCAGCTGGCACAAAGAGGCGCAAGACTCCTGACGAGGACGAGGAGGAAGAGGAGGAAGAGCAGCCGCCAAAGAAGAAGGCTCCCGCTAAGCCACGCGCTCCCAGGGCCAAGAAAGCAGACGAACCTGAAGATTCGGCTTATCAGTCGATCCTCGACAACATCCCCACTGTCCGCCCTCCGACGCCTCCACCCCAGGACCCAAATGCCCCCAAGTTTGACTGGAGAAAGAACGCTGGTGGTGGTGGAAACAGCGCGGCTGTGCCTGCTAATGCAGGTGCTGCGGAATTGCCTGAAGGCGAGGATGAATGTCTCTCTGGATTGACGTTCGTCTTCACCGGTGTCCTTCAAACCATTGGCCGTGAGGAAGGTCAGGCGTTGGTGAAGAAATACGGTGGTAAAATTACTGGGGCACCAAGTAGCAAGACAAGCTATGTCGTTCTGGGAGACGACGCGGGACCCAGCAAGCTGAAGAAAATCAGGGATATGAACATCAAAACCATCAACGAGGAGGGCCTCTTCGAACTCATCAGGAAGTTGCCTGCCTATGGCGGCTCCGGCAAGGGTGCGGAGAAGGCGCGCGAAAAGAAGAAGAAGGATGAAGAGGCTATCAAAATCCAGGCATTGGAGATGGAGCGAGAGGAGAAGGCCCGGAAGGCTGCAGCAGAGAAGGCAGCCAAGCAAGCAGCAGCCGCTCGGGGGACGACAACTGCCCCTACCCCGACAGCAGCTCCAGTGCAGCTGTGGACATCAAAGTATGCCCCGACGGCACTTAATCACATCTGCGGCAACAAGGCACAGGTCGAGAAGATTCAGGCTTGGTTGAGAAATTGGCAAAAGGCACGCAAGTACGACTTTCAAAGACGTGGTGCAGACGGTATGGGCGGCACGCGGGCTATCATCATCTCTGGACCGCCGGGCATTGGCAAGACGACCGCGGCACATTTGGCCGCCAAACTCGAGGGCTTCGATGTCATTGAGAGCAACGCCAGTGACACTCGCAGCAAGAAACTAGTCGAAAATGGTGTCGCTGATATCATGAATAACACATCGCTTCTCGGCTTCTTTGCCGGAGACGGCAAGAAGGTTGACGGAGAAAAGAAGAACATTGTATTGATTATGGACGAAGTTGACGGAATGTCCGCAGGAGATCGCGGTGGTGTCGGAGCCTTGGCTAAGTTCTGCAAAAAGACTGAGATCCCCCTCATTCTCATTTGCAACGAGCGGAAACTGCCGAAGATGAAGCCGTTTGACTTCGTCGCCATGGATGTTCCCTTCAGGCGCCCGACGGTCGAACAGGTCCGGTCCCGTATCATGACAATCTGTCATCGCGAAGGCCTCAAGCTTCCTGTACCTGTCGTCGATGCCCTCATCGAAGGCAGTAACAAGGATATTCGACAAATCATCAACATGATCTCCACCGCCAAGCTCGACCAAGCATCGATGAGCTACGACAAGGGCAAGGCAATGACCAAGGCATGGGAGAAACACGTCGTTCTAAAGCCTTGGGATATTTGCCAGAAGATGCTCGCTGGTGGTCTGTTTGCTCCCGCCAGTAAAACCACTTTGAACGAAAAGATCGAGCTATACTTCAACGACCACGAATTCAGTTACCTGATGATCCAGGAAAACTACCTACGCTCAAAACCCATGGCACTAAACAATAGAGGTTACAACAAGAGGGAAGAGAACCTGAAGTACCTCGAATTGGTAGACCAGGCGGCGGAGAGCATCAGCGATGGTGACCTGGTCGATCGGATGATTCACGGACCTCAACAGCAATGGAGTCTCATGCCTACTCACGCAGTGTTCAGCACGGTTCGGCCATCGAGTTTCGTTGCTGGCCAGCTCATGGGCTCCAACTTCACATCCTGGCTCGGCAACAACAGCAAGACTGGCAAACTTGGTCGGTTCGTCCGTGAGCTGCACTCGCACATGCGGTTGAGGTCATCTGGAGACGCCAATGAGGTTCGCCAGCAATATCTGCCTGTCTTGTGGGATCAGATGATCCGCCGGTTGTCCATCGAGGGCAAGGAATCTGTCGACGAGATTATCGAGCTGATGGACAGCTACTACTTGACACGAGACGACTTCGATGCGATTCAGGAGCTCGGTGTTGGTCCGCAAGCTGAGGGCCGGGCTGATATCGAGTCCAAGACAAAGGCAGCATTCACGCGAACGTAAGTACTCTTGCCTCTCGCTGTCCATATTTAGTACTAATAACTTTCCAGCTACAACGCAATGTCTCATCCTATTCCTTTCTTGAAGGCCAGCAATATCATGGAGCCCAAGAAGGTGGCGAAGGAGGCTCCGGATCTTGAGGAAGCTATTGAGGAGGACGATGATGCCGATGTTGCGGAACCTGCTGATGCGGGCGAGGAGGACGAGGACAAGATTGACTTGAAGAAGGACAAGCTAATCAAGGCGCCCAAACCGAAGGCTAAGAGAGCAACGAAGAAGGCCAAAGCAGGCGATGACGATGACGACGAAGATGCAGATGCTAAACCTAAGAAGGGTAGGCCCAAGGCCAAGGCAACGACTGCCAAGGGAAAGGGCAAGAAGTAATGGCAACATAGTCGACAGATATCGATGTGAGGGGCATCTTTCATGAGAGGAGCCCGCCGGTATTCACTGAGTTTGAGTGAGGCAATCCTTACGTTGTGCACAGTACTGCTAGGATTATGAGGTTTGAAACAGGAATTCCTGCTGTTCTTTGAACACCTCTTATCAATGGTTAGATATCGTATGAAGCTGTAAACTAATCACAACATGATTTGAGAGATGCATATCATGAAAGGTAATCAGTGTAAAATGTTTTGAGCGACAATATCTGTGTAAGTTAATACGTAAGGAACCAGACCAGAGAATGACAGCTGTAGCTTGACTTCTTCATGGAATGCGGCTGCAAGTATGTGATAGACAATGTTTTTGTGCACGCCCACCCAAGGCTTGTGAATCCTGGAGGAGCTTCCTGCCAGAATAGGTTGTTCTTCAGCCTTTGCAAGAATCCTTCCAACACACACATCACCACCAGCACAAGGGGTGATGCCAACTAGACACAAAACTTGAAAGGCAATCGACCAGGCTCTAGGTCCTTCATTTTTCAGCACTCCAAGTTCCAAGTGAGTTTCTCTTGATGGCTCCGAATTTTCACCTCGCCCTCCATAAGCACAAAGCTGATCCAAAACGTTCGTTGCGCAGTCCGCCATATCAAATGATTCCCATCAGTTACAACGCCTACATCCAACCGACCATCCATGATGTCGACCACTTGGGATCAACCCGCTTAGTCGTCGGTACGGCTTCAAGCTCCATGATGATGAATGAGAAGGGTTCAAAAGAGCCCGGGTCCAAGAAGACGTTCCGAACTGCTGCAAAGGCCTTGAAGGGTGAATATTTCCTCCAACCCTCAACGCTTCCTGATCTCACGATCTCTCACTTCAACCACCCTCTGCTCATCCATTTTCCGATCCTTCCTCTTTTTCCTTCCCATCGAGTCCTGCCGAGCTTCATCCACCTCCAAACTCGAGTGTTTGAGACGTTTGTTTCTTCGGAAATACTCAAAAAAATTATTGCTTAACCTTCCTTCCTTCCTTCCTTCACTCGGATCCTTCATATCAACATTTATTCCATCGCTTGAGAGTTGCTCATTATTCTCATTACAGGTCTGGTATCGAAGGCGGCTCATTCTCTCAAGAAATCAAAGAGCTTCACTACCCTCAAGCGACTGTCGAGCATGTCTTCTCGACGTGATCGCGGCCAGCACTCGCGCTCCAAGTCTGGTAAGTCATCCAACTGCTCATAGATTTTTGGACAGCTTTCATCGCAAGTACGAACCGTGTTTTTGACAAAAAAAAACAAAAAACAAATAGCAAACAACATCGACACCGCGGGTAACCTTGAAGATCACAATCCTCATCGCCTTTCCATCATCGAAGAGGCGTCTCGCGAGTCGTCCCGCGACATCTATGCTGCCAACATGTACGATGAACAGGGCTTCCTCAGTGAAGATCACGAGGACATCTACGATCTCAACGAGTTCGAGATGATGAACTCCAACGTCGGACCACACGGTCAGGAGAATGGAGCCCTTACCCACGATACGGTCTTGTACGGCAACTGGGAGCAAGACAACAACTTGCACGAGTTCAACCGTTCTTCAAGTAAGTCTTTAAATTAATGCCTCCTATTATCTGTATCTAATTTCTTTAAAAGGCCCAGAGACCGTCGTTTTTGACCATGCCCGCTATGCCGGTGTGAACCTCTGGGAGGTGAGCATCAGCACCGATTCGGAGTCGTACTCGCGTTCGGTCCATGAAGGTATCAAGTGCTCCGCGTTGTTCTGCTGCTTCCACTAGGTTCTTAGATAGCAAATTCTGGTTTCAATGAGATACCTTTCTGCTCTTACTGACTCCATCTACTTGCTCCCTGCCTGGGCTACGTAGATTTTTTCTATCTGCTCTTTCCTTCACATGAATGTCGTAACTAACCGACTTATCTTAGTTCCTGATCCCAGCATCAAGATCGAGGGAATCCCCACGACCAAGGACTGGTCCATCTTCCAGAGCGAGCTGGTCGACTACGGTCCCGATGAGCCTAGCCCTCAGCTCCCTGGCTGCTCGGCCGGTCACCCTTTCGCGAAGGACTGGTTCATGACAGACTCCATGATGAAGGCCTACGATGCTGTTCGGGGCTCCATGAGGGATACGAACGACCCGCTGAGGTCTTGGATGGAGGTTAAGGCTTTCGAGTCTGCTCTTCGAGCTCAGAGAGATGCTGCCAAGGTTGTGGTTGAAGTCCCTTCTTGCCAGCAAGATGAGAAGCCCGACGTCAAGGGAAAAGGAAGAGCTGCCGATGGCGGCGGCTTTGCCCGCGGCGAGTCCCAGAAGTGAGTCTCACCCGTGGATATACCCAATTACTAGTCATTCTTCTGACCACGGTTCTTCCAGTGCTTCCAAGACGCAGTCATCTCCTGTCAAGGGAAGCGCGACTCCAGGCTTGGAGACTAATGCGAAGCGAGAGACGGATGACTATGTCAAGTGAGTTTTCGTGTGGCCCGTTGCTTCATTCATGCTTATGACGGACTGTATTAGGATGCTCAATGACACCCATTTGTTGTCTACCGAGTACGCCCCAGATACTGCGGACAGGAAGGGAACCTACAATGTCCCTCGTCCCAAGTATCTTCACATCGCGTCTGATTTTGAAGGCTTCAGATTCGAGGATTATCTCCCTCCGGTTACCGAGACACCTGGTCCCTCTTTCGAGGGGCTGCTCCCCTACAAGCTGCCCTACGATCCGGAGCGCAACTTTGGTAAGTCTAGCTCAAGTCATTGTTTGCGCCGATACTGACACATGTTAGTCGAGGACTACGGTATCTCGGACGACGAGGGTGATCCCGCGTCAGGACGAATCTCTCCTTGTACTTTCCGCCTTCTTGCAGAGGGATGTGCTGAGCAGAACACTAACGGAAAGGTCTTCATGGCCGAGGATGTAAGTTTTGCTGCATCTCCTTTCCAAGCAACCCAAGGCTGAACAGATTCTAGGCTCAGCGTATGCGTCCCGAGACTTCCATGGACGATGGCCCTCCTAAAGAGAAAGCCCCTGACCGTCTCCTCATGGAGTTCGAGACCCAGAGAGACATCAATGACAATGGCTATCTCACGCCCTGCTACTCTCTTGATTCTGAACCTTCCATCATCTACCTGCCTGCTGGTAACTAGCACAACAATGACCCGCCCAAAAGCACAAATCCACTGACTCTAGCATAGGCGTGACCTTCAAGCACAAGATGCGCAACTGGTGGTTCGGCCTCTTCGACCGCATGAACCCCGAAGTCGCACGTAACTTCCGCAAGATCGAGTATCATGAGCCAGGCGACCCCCCGATCGCACCTCCCGAGGCTGCCACCGAGGATTCGGCGACCACTGCCGAGCCCAGCGGCCCCTGGGCCCAGCACTACACCCACTCCGATATTGAGACGATCCTCAACACCCCGGGCGCCCGCAAGGTCGCCGGCGTCGAGGCGGCGAGCGCGGCCGAACTTATCACGCAGCGCCAGAAGACCATCCTCCGCTGGAAAACCCGAGACGAGGAAGTCACCCGCGAGAACGCCGTCCTGCGCGGCGACGTCGGTCGAGCCCAGAAGGAGCTCCGCGAGATGCGCCTCTCCGTCGACCACGTCCTGGCGCAGAGGGCCGCCCGAGAGCGCGCCGAACGCGAGCGTGCAGCGCGGGAGCTCAGAGAAGCCTGGGAGCGCAAGGCCGCGTGGGAGCGTGCTGAGAAGGAGAGAATAGCCGCGGAAGAGCTCGCCGAGAAGGAACGCAAGGCCGCCGAGGAACTTGCCGAGCGAGAGCGCAAGGCTGCCGAAGAGCGCGCTGAGCAGGAGAGGAAGGCTGCCGAGGAGCTTGCCAAGCGCCAGAAGCACGAGAAGCGGGTGCTACGCCGTGTGTCGGCGCACTTGCACGACTTGCGGTACGAGGTTCAGGCCAAGTTCCACTCCCTCAAGGACGCCGAGGATGAGAACAAGAAGATGAAGAAGGAGTTGGTTCGTTGCACGACCCGAATCAAGGAGGAGTGCTTGAGAGCCAACTTGTCGAGTCCCGATGAGGTTCGCCGGGCTGTCTCGCAGAACTTCCGGGACAAGATGGCGGCCTTGGACCTTGCTGGTTGATTGTGGAATGAGTTTGCCGTGAGAACTGGCCTATGACACAGTAAGCTGTCCTTGTGGCATTCTCGCTTTTATCTTGCTATTTTCAGCCTGGCTCTCCAGTGACCTGCTGCTGACGGGTAAGTTCTGGCATTTGGATCCTGACCATTTCGTTTGGCTTACAACGACACTAGGTAAAGCCTATCCGACTTTGATGCCCAGTTGATATTGACTATGCGCTTCCCCGAGGGAGAAAGGCGGTCGGCAGCGCAGAACATCACGCATTTCGCCTGGTCGGGGACTCTCAAAGTCCAGGCTGTGGTTGACTCTGCTCCCTAAGTGGCTGTCGCAATCGGTAATGGTCCGACTTTCTTGACGAGACTATTGCTTTGAATCATCGGGTCTCGATATTTCGGCTTTCTGATAAGTTTCTCATGAGCAAACAATTAGGTACTGCCAAGCTACCATCACCAGTGTTGGGTGGGACCATTGACTAACACCATGTCGCAGGTTGGGTGAACGCACAGTTCTTGACGAGTTCTTTCGATTTTGTCCCCCTTTTTCAGATTGCTCTCCACGAACGATGATTTGTGCCATGATGTGGCCATTGTTCGAGTGCGATACTCTATGTTGAGATAACTGGAAGATGTTGGATTTGCCCATGAGCCGAGGGCGGCCTTACGGCGTTGTCAGTGTAAATAGAATTTGCCAAAGTATTACGTTCAACCTTGACCGAATGTGGCCGAATGTGATTGCAAAGACCGGAATGTAATTATGCGTGTGTGAATAAGACACAGGGAGATTGAAATCTCCTAGACGGTATGATTAAATTGTACCAGAGCTTTGAGAAGAATCATCAGACCCCGAAGCCCCTATTCGGGGTCTATGTATACACAAACGTATCCAGATTCTATCCGTTTCTTCTTTTCATCCAGCAAAAAGGCCTTCCCATTTGCGGCCCCCTTACATTTTTTTTCCGCCATGCTATTGTCACATCATGAGAGGAGCATTATACACCGACCGGAACGCCCAGTTCGCTGTTCCGGGAATCGAGAGAATATCGTAGAACATAATGGTACAAGGGGGGTTGGTAGGTTGCCGACGCCTCCAGCGGTCAGCCGACCAGCCCCATGATTTTAAAACAAGATCTTCGTAGAGATCGGTAGTGTGATGCAAGAAGTTGAGCCATTGGCCTCTTAAGCGTTCTTAACGACGCCGACCTTGGCAGCGCGCATCACGCGACCGTTGAGCTTGAAGCCCTTTTGCTGGACGTGGAAGACGGTGTTGTCCTCCTTGTCGGGCTGGGGTGCCATGAAGGTGGCGTCGTGCTCGTTGGGGTTGAACTTCTCGCCCTCGGGGTCGAAGCGCTCGATGCCGTGCTTCTTCAGCGTCGACATGAGAATGTCGTCAGTCATCTTAAGACCCTCGTACAGGTTGGCGAGGTCCTTGAGGTCGCCCGACTTCTCCTCGACTTGGAGCTTCTCCTGGGGCACCATGGAGAGGGCACGGTCGAGGTTGTCGATGCTGTCAATGAGGTCCTTTGAGAACTTCTGCAGGGCAAAGTCGCGCGCCTGCTTGACCTCGCGTTGTGTGCGGTCCTGGAGGTTACGGAAGTCGGCAATGGTGCGAAGGCACTTGTCCTGGAGAGCTGTATGTTAGAACTGGGTCTCGAAACTCGATGTCCGAGATCGGGGAACAGAATGCGAACGAACCTTCCAGTCAGCAGCCTCCTTCTCCTTGGTCTCCAGCTGCTTCTTCAGGGCAGACTCGGCATCATCGGCGGGCTTCTCGCCCTCCTTGGTGGCCTCGGTGGTCTCCTTGGCGTCGCTGTACCATCTCGCAACGGCGGGTTGCGCAGCTCGTATCCTGAAGGCAGGGGAGCTCTGGAACTGATTTTGGAAGACAGACTTGGAAGTCTGGGTGCGGATGCCGGTGCGCACTGCGCGAGAAGAGGTAGCAATGGCTTGTCTGAACATTGTGGCGGTTATGGTGTTTGCGTGAGAGACTCGGGAGGGCGAAAGCGTGGTTGGAAACAAGGAGGCGATGTAGGGATTGGTCGCGTGTACGGAGAAGCTTTTAGAAGAAAATGAAATTTTATCGGAATGGCCCCAAGTGACGAATTGCCGTCCCTTGAACCCCCGGCCACGCGGGAAAGTTCGCGCCCAATCATAAGATTCTAGAGAGCTCCATCCGGGGGCGGATGAATCAAGGGACCGCTCACAGCTTTATCGATAACACTAGCGCCAAGGCAAGGCCAACGCGCTTTCAGCAGGCGCCAGGCGCGGTCGCTGCACCTTTCAATTGGTAATTCAGTGGCACCTGAGGCGGCAGCATTCACTTTGGCTCTGGTCGCAAAAATATCCATTCAGCCTCCCCTCCACCGTAACACAATCGCCAACTTCCACCCGTTCCATCCGCCCCGCGACCCACGATAATTACGATTGCCAAGGCGCTCTTGCTTCTTGTATACACGAAATCGAATACGTTTGCCGCAGCATAATTCGAATTGCCTCTCAGAACCTTTGGCCGAGCTATAACTGAAAGGAAAAAGGCGGCGCGATGGATTACGAGCCGATGCTGTTGGATGGCGAGTCCGGAGGACCATCGATCAAGATCTCAGGGGTACTACTTCCCAAATTCACTTAGCTAGTGACTTTCAAACTGACAGCCGGGCGCATCGTTAGGCTGATAACATCCACGTCAACTTTGATCTCTCGAACTGCGACCTCTCCTTCGCCAACTCGCTGCGTCGCGTTATCCAGGCCGAAGTCCCAGTGATCGCCATCGACCTGGTCGAAATCGAGGCCAACACATCTGTCCTCGCCGATGAGTTCATCGCCCATCGCCTGGGTCTAATTCCCCTCCAGTCCAAGGACGTCAACAGCTTGCTTTACACCCGAGACTGCGACTGCGAGCAGTATTGCGACAACTGCAGCGTAAAGCTCACGCTGCATGCGCGATGCTCGTCAGACGAGACCATGAAGGTCTACGCTAGCGATCTTATTGTCGACAGCTTTAGGCAGAACGGCACGGTGGGAAACCCTGTAATCCTCGACCCTGAAGGACAAGGCTCTTTGATTGCCAAGCTGCGCAAAGGGCAGGAGCTTAAGGTGTCATGCATCGCGAAGAAGGGTATTGCAAAGGAGCATGCAAAATGGATGCCGACGTCTGCCGTTGGGTTTGAATACGACCCTCACAACAAGCTGCACCACCTGGACATGTGGTTCGAAGAAGATGCCAAGGCCGAATGGTGAGTGACTCGAATGACATGCTCCTCGAAAGATGCGAGTCGCTAATGGTAGCAAAGGCCTGAGAGCAAATATGCCAAGATGGAGGATCCCCCACAAGAAGGCGAAGCCTTCGACTACGACGCGCTCCCCGGCAAGTTCTACTTTGAGGTCGAAGGTGTAGGCAGTCTGGAGCCGGATCAGATTATCCAAGAAGGAATCAAGATTTTGCAGGAGAAGTTGGCTCTTACGCTCCACATTCTCACAGGTGAAGCAGATGACGATGGCATGGGCGACTTTGATGGACCTCGCAGTCCCAACTTGGACATGGACGGCGGCAACCCCTGGCAAGATCAAGGCTACACCACTCCTTTCAACGGCGGCAACCAGACCGCGTGGGGAGGCAACGCAACGACACCCTACACCACAACGACACCTTACGGCGCCTCCGGACAGTCTGGATGGAACTGAGAGAGAACGGCAAAAACAAAATCATAAAAAGGCGTTTATGTATGAAAACCACTTTAAGATCTGGGGGCGGTAATGGAGTTTGCGAAATTTTGCAAAGAAGCTAGCTTGGCCATCAGCTGGCTACATCAGCCTAGCTCGGGAGAGGTGGAGTTTGCCTGAAAACGCGCCAAACGGAACCAAAACGGATGACAAGATGCACTCCGCATTGGCAAGAGGGGGTAGGCTTCTCGGCCTCCTGGCGGCTGGACCTGAACCCAGACTGGCTTGGCTTATAGACACCCGTGACAGGGGATGACGGCGGTAGAGCAATCATAAAACAAGATAACAGCCCAAGGGCGAAGAGAGGTAGGCGGGGTTCGATTTCGGCCGAGAAGGTAGCTCTTCTTCCGGATATCTGTAATACAACTCACACACAAACCTCACACGAAGCGAACATTAAATTGCTGCAAAGAGAACCAATCATATCTTTCTTTCCTGTGTATTCCCTCCATGACTCCTGTCAAATGCAGCAGAGTTGCCTCTTTTTCCAACGCCTCCAAACATGCCAAGATGGTACTAGTGATGATGATGCAGCGCCAGTCTATCTAGGTATTTTAACGCTCATTCTATAACACAACACAAGCCTTTTTTGTGTCTCTATTACCCCTTGATGGACGCATCTTCACCGTTGCCGATATCAGCAACCTTTCTATAGACCTTGCGGTGCATTTCTAGGAAGACAAATGTACAGATGGTTTGTCTAGGCGGGGTTTAGTAAAGCGTACAACATGTCCATCATAAGAGCAAACGGGGGGGGGGGGGGGGGGACAAGAACGTACGGTCCGAGGCGGAGGAAACTGGGTACCCAGCCCTTGAACATCCACCCAAGGCCCTCGGCCTTGTAAATCTTGGCCAGGGTATGCGCCAGCCCCTCCTGGGTGCTCGCCGACATGACCCGCGTCTTGATGACATCAATGGGGCTCGTCACCGTGGCGGCCATCACACCAGCGAGGAACGAGGCCGTAAAGTGCGTCGTCAGGTTATCACCCATGGGCGTGTGGCGGATGAGCATGCCCTTGAAGGTATCGTACGAAGCGAGCTGCGAGGCCGTCATGGCCGCGGCGCGCATGCTGTTGGGCAGGACGCCCCTGAACCAACTCATGATGCCTTCCTCCCGCGCCATGCGGAGCATGCCCTCGAGGGCGTGGCTGTAGTTGCGGCGCTCGGCGGCGGGGAGGGCGGCGTCCTGCTGCATGCGGACGTTGAGGACGTCGGCGGCGTTTCCCGAGATGCCGCCGACGAAGCCCGCGGCCGAGGCCATGGCGACGAGGACGGGGAAGGAAGGGGGTTTGCCGTCGTTTGCGCGGGTGGCGCGGATCTTCATCTCCTCGTAGGCGCCGAAGCGGACGGTGGAGTAGGTCATTTGACGGAGGAGGGAAGCCGAGAGGCCGTTGTAGAGGCCTGTCACGCCGTGGTTGCGGATGATGTGGGTGAAGGTGCCGACCATGTTCTTTGGCGCGTCGGGGCGGCGGACCTGGAGGCGGACCTAGAAGAGGGTGGCATTGTGTAAGTAAGGAAGTTCTTGCTTTGAGAGCTACGTAGATGTGTTGTGGTTTGCTACGGCTCTTGGGAGAGATTGAGTTTGCTATCGTGGATCGAGGGTTTTGTTCGCTGGTGTATTGCAGAAGTGGGAGCGCATTACCTTAACTGTGAGACATTGTCAGCTCTTGGCTCACTCCAAAATTTGCGATATCGCAGGCTCTCTCGCGCCATATCTCGAGATCAAGGTTGGCAGGACTTACCCAAATCCAGGGGATGGGTCACGCAGGCGGCCATACTACTGGCGCTGCCTCCGAACCAAAAAGGATACCTCAGCGACGGTTCAGCCGTCTTCTTCTGCTTTTGAGGCGCCGGCGTCGTCGCTGTAGCCGTCGGTTGCGCTTGCGACTGCTGCTTCTCCTGGACCCCCTCGACCTGACCCAACTTCAACGGCGAGGGCTGCGACGACGACGACCCGGACGGCTCGTCGGCCGGTTTACTGGCGACCATGTTGGAGGAGGCGGCGGCGGCGGACTGCATCGTTGCAGGGTGTTGCGCAGTTTCCTATGATAAGCTCATCCCGTTACGGCGCAATTGAACACTGCGTCGCGAAATTGGCAAAGGATCCGTGAGTGAAGAAGCACAAACGGACGACCTTTCTCGGATTTAACGTAAGTTATGTCCAAGATTGCCTGGTTTCCCTCTCTCTCGTGTCGGCAATTATCAGCTGGGTAGCGTGTGTTGCTGAGACGTCACTTTTCGGTCGTTGCGGTCGAGTGACGTCTTTTTTTTTTTTTTGTTATAAAGCCGACTTCGGGGGAGAGGGTGTGGTCGTCCAGGAGGCCTTCTTTTTTTTTGTCGCTACTTTTGGGGTATGCAGGTGGTGGGAGGAAGAAGCCGAGGAATTGGAGATCGGCTCGGTTTATCGCGAACTTTTTTTTTGTCGTTATCTTTTTCTCTGATTAAATTAACACCGATTCGGCTGGATGAGGGACGCGCTTCAAGTCGGCTCAAGGGAAGCAAAAACGAGATTTGCTGATTTAGCAAGTCCTCCCCTTTCAGAGGGAACCACCTGCACCGACAAACAACAACCGAACCTACTACTTCAATTTTTTGGTGCGTCATTGGGCCTGCAGCGAAGCCAGGGTGCCATGCGCTAATGAAGGGCCTCTCCGGACCCTTGCCCCGGGGGAGTCGGCAGGGTCTGGCGCCGTGTGCCCGCCCCGGGTCGCAATGCCAATTGGCTTGGCCCGTGCATCCCGTAGCTTTTGTCAGACTTCTGGTGATCGACACTTTTTTGACTAACTGCTGCGAAAGCTCCCTTTTCCTAACGGCAGCCATTGTCGCAACACTATATCGAAGCTCTACGCCTGTGATGAGCACATAGAAAAAGGGCCTTTGCATCCGGACAAGGGCGTACACAGCTTCGAAATGCTCGTCCCAAGATTAGCCGGGAGGCAATTGCAAAGTTGCTTCCGTGGCGCCACCTGCGCCGCGAGAGCTCCTCGACAATGGCAGGCCATCGCCTCATTGTCGATGACCGGTGGCCGGCGCAACTACTCCTCAGGTTAGATCATAATCAACCGGTCCTTGACGATCTATAGTCTAAACAGGCAGCAATCACAGAACCCTCGACGATTTCAAAAACCCTAGACCAGAAAAAGACCGTCGAGGTCAACGGCCAAACGATACCGACAGACACCTGGTTCAACGTCCCGACAAACGTCCTCGACGCCGCCTCGCGCAAGCTCCACCTCCAAAAAGACCACCCCGTCTACATCACGCGACAAATTATCGAGTCGCAGTTCCCTGCGCCCACCTACAAGTACCACAACACCTTTGACCCCGTCGTCACGACGCACCAGAACTTTGACTCGCTCGGGTTCCCCCTAGACCACCCGGGCCGCGCAAAGTCAGACACATACTACTTCAACGAGCACACCCTACTTCGCACGCACACGAGCGCCCACCAGGCGCAGACGTTCCAGAAGAACCTGAGCGAGGGCTACCTCATCAGCGCAGACGTCTACCGCCGCGACGCCATCGACAGGAGCCACTACCCCGTCTTCCACCAAATGGAGGGCGCCCGCATGTGGGACAGGACAAAGGTTCCCAACGGCGACATCGCCGCCGCCGTCTGGGAGGACCTCAACAGGCTGCCGAAGCACAACGTCAAAGTCGAGGACCCGCACCCGGCCTACGACGCGGAGCGGAACCCCCTACAGGAAGGCCACCACTCCCCCGCCGAGGCCGAGGCCATCGGCGCCCACCTAAAGCGCTCGCTTGAGAACATGGTGGTCGAGATCTTTACAAGAGCAAAAGCCGCCGCGGCGAAAGCGGACCCGGACTACAAGGACGAACCCTTGCGGGTCCGCTGGGTCGAAGCCTACTTCCCCTTCACGAGCCCCTCGTGGGAGCTCGAGGTCTACTACGCAGGCGACTGGCTCGAGGTGCTGGGCTGCGGCGTAGTAAAGCAGGACATCGCCATCAACGCCGGCGTGCCGCAGCAGGTCGGCTGGGCCTTCGGCATCGGCCTCGAGCGCATCGCCATGCTCCTCTTCCAGATCCCCGACATCCGCCTCTTCTGGTCCAAGGATGAGCGATTCCTGAGCCAATTCAGGGGCGTCTCGGACCAGCTCGACAGCATGAAGCGCTTCGTGCCCTTCTCCAAGCACCCGGCCTGCCCCAAGGACGTCTCCTTCTGGCTCGGGAGCACCTCCTCGGCAGCGGGGGGCAACACGAAAGCCAACACGCAGGACTTCCACGAAAACGACTTCATGGAGCTGGTGCGCGACATCGCCGGCGAGCGGGCCGAGGACGTCCGGCTGGTGGACGAGTTCACGCACCCCAAGACGGGGAGACGTAGCATGTGCTATCGCATCAACTACCGAAGTCTGGAGCGGACCCTGACCAACGAGGAGACCAATGAGCTGCACAGCGAAGTGACCCGGAAATTGGTCGAAAAGCTAGGCGTCGAGATCCGGTAAGGGATGACAAAAGAAAAAGGCAACCACTGTGCAAGCAGTTGTTCAACGTTGGCAGAGTTTGAGGGGTAAAAGGGGGCTGTGCTGCCAACACTTTGTTATTCCCTCATCTTGAAGATGGGACGGGATCCTGATCCGATGGCGGTGAGTAAGTCCACATTCGGCATGCCATCAGTCTAGTGTAACTAGAACCTGGCGTAAGTTATAAGCCTCGCTTGAGGGGTTGTCGCGAGAAGAGAGTGCTGCTAAGCTTTTAGCTTGTGCCCTGGCTGTGTGCCCGTGTAGAAGAAGAGGCCGTCACGCCCATTGTATGATATCAATTTTTCTGTACTATCAAGAACCCCCCCCCCCCCCCCCCTCCCCCCCCCCCAAAAAAAAAGGATGGACTGAGCTCAAGCTTGGTGTTTGTGAAGGCTGAGTTGAGCTTTGAATCAAGAAACAGAACTTCAGGGGAAATTACGGGGACTCGGGATTTCCTTTGATCCCGTCGTCTTGCAGATAGATGTGCTGTGTTTCTCGGAAGCTATGATTCTGAAGCAACCGTGTGATGTACACATACAAAACATCAGACCAACGGGGAAAAAAGGCAGTAGTAGGAGAGCCGTTGAAAATTAGCAGTGGACCGTGGACCCGCCCTGTCAAGCGTCCGAGCATCTCGGAATAAGCGCAGAGAAGACCTCACTGCTGCTGCTCCTCAGACGAATGTAATCATACTTCCATATTCTGGTTGCGGGAGTTCAATTCCGCCGGTTCGAGAAAGAAGCAAAAAAAACAAAAAATCTGAAGCATTGACGCCGGGGTTGCAGATCGGTTGTATCATGCGCAAAACCTACACACATAAAGCTCGCGCGCAGCAGCACGAGCGCATTAGTCTTCGGGAAGATGGAGCAGACCATCGACCCGTCGTCCCATCACCAAAAACTTGGGACGGTCGTGCAAAAGTCAGTTTCAAGGCATTTCTTCTTTCCCTCACATAAGATTTCAGCCAATCCCGGTGCTCGCATTACAACAAGAAAGATGAGACTTGAGCCGACCTACAGTATGGTGGTGGAGGGTAGAGGGTTTGCTCGTTTGTTAGACGGTCAAACTACACAGCCCATGTACCCTTGTCGAGCTCTCGTCGTTCATTGCATCAGACCAAGCTGTGATTGTTGCAAAAGATTTCCTCAATGCTGATTTCCCCCTCTCGCAAGCGAGTTCCTTGTAATGTTGCCCAAACGGATGAGATGATTTTGCCATCGCTTCAGGTCCGACTCGGCAGCAGAGTTTATCAGGCGGTAATCTCTCTGGGCATGCAATGTCTTTGGTGCAAGGAAGCCCCGTGCTTGCGGCAGATAAGGTGCAAGACATATCGAGCTTGTGAGTTCTCTATAAACGTCCTGTTCTTGGAGAAACGCGGCAAACGGTACCTGAGATTACGGACGGAACAATTCAATCGATGGCCTGCAAGTCAGCAGTTGCAAAAGCACTCTTCTGGGGCCGAAAGAGATGATTCGGTTGTCGGTCGTTAACTGTCGTGCAAGCACGTTAAGAGACGAAGACTCTTTGCTATAGGCGCAACTTGCCCAACTAGGCAATCGGCAGCCGGTATTATCTGAAATGGCGCCAGTGAAAAGAGAGAGTGTCGGAGGTACAGCGAAATGCAGAAAAAAGAGCATGCATGTCTTGGCCTAGAACGGTGTCTGGGGAAGCCGATTGCAGCACGAAACATCAATCTGGCAGGTGGAAAGTCTTGGTATTTTGCACAGCCTCGTTTCCAGATCGCCAGAGGGGTATTTGCTGACCGTACAGCAAAACCGTAACCTTCCGTGGCAATGGGACAGAGGGGAGCGTTTCTGCGGCGTGTCGGGGCGATCGGGTTGAAACATTGGCGAACAGCGTCGCAGAATGGGTGCTGCTGCTGTTGCAGCGATCAGCGGCTGGGCCGTGTTGGTTGCTGAAGGCAAATTTCATTTTGTTCGTCTGCTGTCCTCTGGGCTCTGCGGATAAAACCTCGATATCCATTGTGGCTGATTGTCCCTCTGGAGTTTGTTCAGGATCAGACGAGTGTGTGCACTGGCAAATGTCTCTAACCAGCGGCGTAGGGAAGGGGCTGAGGCTTGGTGCAATTTGGCGCGGAGCTGGCTGAGCGAAGACAAAATTCGTAGGTTGACTCGTATGCCGGCGCGGGCTGAGCCGGCATAGCGAAGCTCAAACTTCAGAGGCGAGCCGCGACTGAGGCTTTTCGGAACCCCATCCCGCGATAAACATCGCACGGGGTGACGGAATGCCTTGCCCCTATTCATCCGGCCGGTATGTCATAGCATGAACTCCTAGATCAAGGCAGGTTTCTTGCTGAGTTGGCGCCGCCATCGCTGCGGTTCGTTGAGGGGGGCGGCGGGCTCGCATCATGGGTGAGCTCCCCTCCAAAGCCAAGCCCCAGCCCCAGATGATATGATGCAGGCGGTTGGAGGTGTTGCTCAGCCAAGACCAGGAATACAAGCTTCGGTCATTCAGATTACACTGCAACCTGCCGACAACATGGTCAGAAGAAATTTCGGATAGAAGAGCGAAGCTTTGTTTGATAGCATTGCAAGTGGTCCAAGGAGGCGCCGCCCCCAAGCCCATTATCGAACCGTAAACTCCAAGTGTTGTAGATACAGTGAGTGGTTAAGACCGAACTCGCCTTGTGAACACAACATTTGCTGCACAGCCCCCATCACTCCATGGACCCTTCCTTGGCCAGGGACTGGACGTTGTGGGGGTTTGACTCGGGATCCCTGGAGTCTTTTTTAGCTTAACCGCGATAGCGCAAGAGCGGGGAGATGAGCTGTCGAGGTGTTGGTTGTCGAATCACTGAGTATAGTGACGGTCGACAGGTCTGGTATCTGCATCTGTAGGGTAACGTTGACATTCGGAGTATGCCCGAGTCCAGACTGGGCATCTTGAAGATCAGAGATGCAGGTGTCTCTGGAAACGGGTGGCTGCATACCACTCGGAATGGGCGCACCGGAGGTATCCCAAGACGCAAGAAGCGACGGGAGACCCAAGCCCTCGGTGGCTGTCTGCTGTGCCTGTTTCTCGCGTGTCCAGGGACGTACGGGAAGGGGAAATAAGAGAGACCCGAGTGTGAGGTCACAGGACAAGGTGGAGGGATACGGTGGACAAGGTGGGAAGATGGCGATGCGCCGCTACCGAACGTAGTGCTGTCTTCGGCTGCCGTAGCTGCGGACAAGTAGCGGGTCGAGGCACCGATTCTCAGCGCTTTGGAGCCCAAGTCTCGCTCCAGAGCGTGCCGTCATTATTGACCACGTCCACCTGGGCTCAGTTCAGGTCGGACGGATAGTGCGCTGGGCGTGTGGGGGAACAGCCGTGGAAGAGGCTCCGGTCGTGGATTTGTTGCAAGGGGAGGCCTGCGGGAGGCGAAGGCGACAACGACAACGAGACTGCGTGACTGGGCTGTCGCAGCAGTGCCTGCCCTGAGGGAACAGCCGTGCCAGCCAGTTTGGGTTCAATGGAAGGCAAGCACCGCCCTCATGGCACACCGTAAAAGTCGTCACGAAGGAAATTACCGATTGAGGCGGAGATAACTGGAGCCGCTACCGTAACGGTACGTACTCGGATCTAGCCCGTCTAAGTGTCTTAGCTCATCCGTTAAGGAAGAGACCAAGGTGACCAGAACACGGAAACTGCGCGTAAAGAATGGCTGGGGTGGCGAATGGTATTCTCGACAATTCGATTTCCAGCGGGGCCGACGAACCAAGACCTGTTCGATTCGTCAGTAGTCTGCCTTGACAAGCGGTTCCGTCTCCACGCCAGCGAGGGACGATAGAGGTCCAGGTCTTTCGTGGATCATTTCCCACGAGCCACCGGGCCAGTGCAACCGCAGCACGGCGCGAAGCAAGGGCAAGGTCTCGTTGAGGATGAACTTGAGGTATGGCATGGCAGATATTGCAAAGCAATGTTGCGGAAAGCATCCCGTGGACACTTCAGACTTGGAGTATGCCAAGCCTTCTGGAGTGGGAGGGAAAACTTTTGCCGTATCATTTCTCTCTATCCGTATTGCCTCTTGCTCTTGCACAGCCCCAATTCATGTCAGCCGTGTTAGTCTTGACCCTGGGCTGCTGGATGCCCAGTGCTTGCCTCTATCAGTCTCTCTGCTCGGAGGCAAGGTAAGCTGCCCGGTAAGTTGGTGAGATGATGAGCCGAATGAGCAAAGTGACTTACTTACCTTATGGCCTCTCTCACATCCTGTGTACGGTTACACTACGATAATACAAGCTGGTGCCTTGCCGCTATTCTCCATGCGTCGTCCGATCCCGATGTGCTCCTTCTCGCGCCAATGCACCTTGGCAAACCCTCGCGCCCTGCCTTGCTGTGAAGCTTTTCCCACCATGAAGCCTGGAGTAAGCTGCCCTGTGGCCTGCGCTCGCAGCGACCGGGCTGTAAATTGACTGCGTGACTAGCAACGTAGGACGTGACTATGTTGTCCGTGGGAACGGATAAGGAAGGGGACCGTAGGAGAGTCCCCGTCTGCCCGCCTGCCGTCTCCACCACTGTGACGGCGCTCTCCAAAAAGGCGGCGAAACTTCAAACGGGCCCGTGAGTCTTCCCGTTTCATCCACACAGACACTCCCAGCGCCCCACTCAACGTCCAGAGGCAACGGCACCCCTCCCCTCTAAGGTACCTTACCTTACGGAGTACAACTCAGCCATCCACCATCCACCTGGCAAGCCTGGCACCGTCCACCATTCCAACCATCCCACACTCCGCCCGACCCCAGTAGTCCCTCAGTAGCGCCTGGCCAAGCCACTCTCTCACTGGTACGCTCAAACATATAACCAAGACCGCCTCCCGCCAACCACCACCATCATTCTTCGTTCCAACTCCAGCAACAACCAAAACACTACACAAACAACCTGCAATACTGCAAGCCTCTCTTCTGCAGATGAATAAGATCACTACACAATTGGCGTAGAATACACAGTAAAGAGCGAGAAACGAACGCCTTGCCATACCGCAAAACCCACACCTCAACCACATACACACACATACACAACCAGCCAAAATGGAATCACCTCAGTTGGATACCCGCCCCATCTTCTCGAGACGCTCGACAGGCTCCAACAAGTCGCTCTCCCTCGATCTCTCCTCTCTGCCGCCTCTGGTTCAGCCGACCCCGCCCACAAACACCCTCCTCTTCACAAACCTGAACGACACCTCAATCTTCCGCCCCGACAACCTGCAGACCATCCGCGACCTCATCCTCAAGACGGCGCCAGTCCACTCATGGGCGCCTCTCAAATCCTTCCGCCGTATCGTCGTTTCCTTCTTCTCAGAGGACGACGCCATCGCCGTCCGCCGTGTCTGGGACGGTGAAGCCGTCATGGGCGAGCGCGTCCGTGTTTACTTTGGCCAGCCTACTCCTGTCGAGGTGACCGATCGCCACCTTGCCCTTCCCGACGCAGGAAAGCTCTTCTTCATCTCCCCCCCTCCCTCGCCACCCCACGGCTGGGAGATGAAGCTCGAGGATGCCCCCAACAAGATGGTGCACGCAGAGGACCTCGCCGATGCGCTGGCCAAGCTCCACCACCGCCCGACGGGCGTCGAGACCCCCATCAGCCCCGTCGACGGCTCAAGACAAACGCGCAGCAGAAGCTCTACCCTGCTCTACCAGCCTGACGTCAACGGCACCAGCCCCGATCTGCCCGCCATCTGCCTGGAGGACATGACCGACGAGCCCATGGAGTTCAGCCCTATCGAGCCGAAGCCCATCATGGCGCATACTTCCCGCCCACCCGTGGAGCTGATGCACCACGCATAATTCTTGATTTCAACCGTTTTGTTTTTGATAGAGCGATCTTGGTCAGGCGTTGGATGGTACGATATTGGGACTATGGCGGTTCAGGAACTTTGGGCACGCATATAGCATCGAACGGGCTTGCGACGGCGTTTTATGGAAAGTCCACAGCTTGCACATTGGAGCGGTACACTTTTTGGATTGAGGAGGAATATTATTCGAATGGAATCGGCACTATCACACTGTCGTTCCTGGTGGCGAACGAGCCAATTTTTTGCGCAACAAAAAGTTTCTGTCGTGTAGCTCAGAAGCACACAAGGTCTTTTCCTGTACACTAGATTACCCTTTCGCTCTCAGTTCTGAAAGGCAGCGAAACAAACAAACTTGATTACCAACTAAAAAAAAGTGGTGTGGACCCCTATATTTGTCTCAGTACTGTGATATGTAGCTCAGCTCTCTACTACAACTTCTGCAACCCGAAACCTGCAGCAGAGACGTTCATGCTGTGGAGTCAAATTCGTGGACTGGGTGTACGCAAACCCACGAATGACGCGCGCCAGACCAAACGGTTTGATCGTCGGATACAGTGATCTACCTACACTACGACTTTCGAACCCAAGGGCAGAAGGAAATCCGGCCCCTCACAGCCGATCGGGGATTAGCTTGTCGGGGATTGAGTCTCATCCACGATTGTTTCTGACGTATGATGGGCATTCTTGTTCCTGCGAGGACTGACTACCTTGTACCGTTCACCGGGGGGGGGGGGGGGGGGCATCATCGAATATTCAAAGAACAAGAACACTCCCAAACAGGGCCGACGCCCCGCGGATCCCAAGCCAGGCGAGCAGACCTGCCAGTGTGACGGCCACGCTTAATGCGATGAGGCTCCGGCGTTCGTTGCTGCGCACGCGGCGTGTGCTTGCTCCTGCTCGTGCTCCTGGCCTTGCGCCGCCCGCCGCCTTTGCATCTGCGGGGGTGGAGCCGGGTTTGTGAGTTGGGGACGGGCCCGGGTGCTGCTGCTGCTGCTGCTGCTGGGTCCGGGCCGCTGCCTCGGTGGACATGACGTCCAGGGTCGGGATGTACTTGAATTCAAAAGTCGTTTCTTTTCCGAGGGCGCCGAGCTCGGGTTTGTGGATTGTTAGGTTGAAGAGGGCTCTTGAAAGGTTCTAGGGAGGGGGGAAGGTTGGTTTTGATTAGTATTAATTCCAACAAAGTGGTCCATCCGTTCTTTCCTAGGCCAGTCCATCGACTGAGAACAGTCGACAAGAGTGCTGGGGGGTCGGGGTTGTTCCTCCAACACTTGGCTGGCAAGACTCACCTTGTTCCTAGACTCATCCCAACTGGGGAACAAACGTCGAGAATAACACATGAACATGAAGAAGAAACACTGGCCCAGTATAAGCAGCGAATAATAAAAAGGCGGCCTCTCGACGGCGAGAGCGCGCGCGAGCTTGGCGCCGTTGAGCCAGTACGTCTCCGCGGCGAGGAACTCGCGCGAGACGTGCGAGGGCGGCTGGTCGGCCAGACCCGTGAGGACGTTGTTGGCGAGGGCGCGCGAGGTATCAGAGGGTTGGATCTCGGAGGCGAGGAGGGACTCCATCGTCGCCTTGGCCCTCGTGAGCGTGGAGAAGGCGTCTGTGGGCGTGCCCATGATGTAGGCTACGTAGCGCCACAAGGCGAGGTAGTCACTCTTTTCGCTGTTTTTGAGATAGATGCCCTGGCGGGGCAGGCCGATCCAGAGGAGGGTGGAGGAGAAGGTTGATATCGTGCCGACGGAGTCCAGGTCGTTTACGGGTACGCCGTAGGCTGCTACGTCGTAGTAGGAAGGTCTCTGCTTGGCGAGGAGGAGGATGCGGCGGCGGACGGCGGCGTGGAGGAGGCGGACTCGGACGGAGGAGGCGTGGCCCTCGCCGCCCGGTTGGACGGAGGGGAGGTCGCGGGTGACTTGGAGGATGTGCTGGAAGGTCTCGAGGAGGCGGCGGCGGGTGACTTTGACGCCGAAGCCGCCTGTTCTCGAGAGAGTTTCTACGACGCGGCGGCCGCCCATGCCGCCTACGAGGGATTGGAATGTGAGCTGTGGATTTGGTGTTAGTGAGGTTGAGGCGGGGATGTATCGTGAGGTGAGTTTGGCTGGACACTCACGGCGAAGATGGCTGGACCTGCGTATCGCAGGAAAACTTGTTGTCCGCGTTCGATTTGAGCCCAGTCGACCCATGGCGGGATAGTGTTGACTTCAGTCCATAACTTTCCCAGAACCTCGTCTGCGTCTGCGTTGTCTCTCAAAAGAGCATATAGGTCTCGATGTGGCTTCGCGTCCTGAGGAGAGTCTGCCTTCTCATTTGGAGTGGCTGAGGATCTAACTGGAGGTGATATCTCATCCAGTCGGTCCAGTGCTTTAGCGCCAAGCTCATCAAAGGTGTATATCATCGGGCGAAGGTCGTCGGATGTGAGATGCTCGTCGGTCCACTTGAACCAGTAGTCCCAGACTTCTCGCCACTCTTCACCCCGGTACCAAAGGAGACCTGCCATTACTGGTACTGGAGTTATAAAAATCTTGACAGTATACAACTTTAAGAAAGGCCAAATGAAATAAATATAGGAAACCTCAGCAGTTCACCAAAGTATAAGTTTAAGGAGAAAAAAGTTGAAAAGGACCCGAAAGTCTCGGTGTTCAGTACGCCTTGGCGAATCGGGGGGGCAAAGCTCAAGCTAAGGGCGGAATGACTTCATAGACCTCAAAAGACTTGTCTCATCAGAAACTAGATGTTATCAGACCAGCCCGAACTATTTGTTCCAATTTGAGCTCCAGGAATCATATGAGATGAATAAGTACAAGAAAGTGAATGCAAGGCCCTGAACGCAGTGCCAGAAAGAAAAACCAACTTTCACTTGGAAGTTGGAGACAACCGAAGTGGTGGCCCTTTTCGGATGAGGAGGGTTTGACACCTGACTGGGCGAATCACCGGACCACACCGGTCGACCTGTAAGCTGGCTGGGAAGATGAGGGCAATTGCTACTTAGATTGGACGGAGATGCAGGCATGTGCTTCGGGAAGGCTGGCCCCACGGCCTCAAGACTGCCAAGGACATGGTTGTGCCATGATGTTTGCACGTGATTGGGCCTCCTTTCCAGTTATGAGGCAGGGGCTGTACTACGAATGGACTTATCATGACCGCAAATTCGGTTGGATAGAGTAGGTTCCAGTATCTATGCTCTATCAAACTGAAAAGAGTTCTGAAAGTAAGGTCGTGGGTTGTAGTGGATGTTGTGATGTGTAAGTGGAAATTGCGCTTCTCTTTGATCACTTCAAACCGATGTTGGTGTTAGTGCAAACGATGTAAAAGCAGCCCACGGGGGTCAACAAACATTTATGACATGACCTAAGAAAAAAGAGGTCAGAACAACAAAAAAAGAGTTCACCTCGGTAGGCTACATCACTCGGTGCTCATGCTGGGATTCGAACTCAGGTAATCGCTAAGCCTGTCGTCGAGTAGGCTGGTTGGCGTGGAATTGATTGTTGACCTTGAACCACTCCACCACCCAGCAAGTTTGTCCTGACCCGTCGACCTAGACGGATGCCTGCTTGCTGGTGAAAGGGACTGGATTGAAGGGGGGTATGTAGGCATCCTGTGTATATTCATTCCGATGATAGCATGGGATGAAGCTGAGGCTTATCCAAGTAACCAAGGTACCTAGGCGCCGTCGGCGGGGCGCCGCTCTCAAGTGCTGACTTTCCATGGCCGCCCCGCTGCGAGCCCTTCCACAGCAGCCCCTGCAAGTACCCGGCGCAGCGGCGTTTTTCCGCCGGGCGCCCCTGCGGCGGGTTCCCTCCTCCTGTCTGCGCGTCCCGTCCCGTCCAGTCGCGGAACCAGATTAATTAGACTCGAGCTCGACTTTTTTTTTCTCCTTCCCGGACCAGCAAACGCCTCCTTGTCTAACCTCACCTCAACCTACCTAATATCCAACCTTGCTCCAGAGTTCGACTTCCTCCCATTTCATCCCGAATTAGAAACCACACAATCACACGATGCTCTGCTCTTGTCGCCTGAGCCCCCTGCGACTCTTCGTCCAGGGCATTTCGCAATTGCATCTCTCTGAACCCGTCGCAACGAGACTCCCGCAACACCTCAAGAACACCCGCACCTTACAAATCAGCCAGACCTCAACGTTTGCAACTTCGGCCGTTCACAATAAAAAGCGTGACTTTATACCATTTCAACAAGGAGGAAAGGAGGCTACATCAAGAGGACCACTGGAAGAACAACCTGACGAAGAACCGGCGAAACCGAAAAGAGAAAACTGGCAGCTCCAAAAAGAGGCTCTAAAGAAGAAGTTCCCCGACGGCTGGAATCCGCGCAAGCGCCTGTCCCCGGATGCCATCGCCGGCATCAAGGCGCTGCACGCCCAGTTCCCCGAGGAGTACGATCTCAAGACGCTCGCCGACAAGTTTCAAATGTCCCCTGAGGCAATCCGCCGTATTCTGAGGAGCAAGTGGCAGGCGACGCCCGAGGAGGAAGAGGACAGGCAGGAGAGGTGGTTCCGGCGCGGCGTTAATGTGTGGTCGCGGTACGCGGAGCTGGGTCTGAAGCCACCCAGCAAATGGCGCCGCGAAGGCGTTACCCGAGACCCGTCGTACCATCAGAACCGGAAGGAGGCGATACAAAGGAGGAAAGAGGAGGAAGCCAAGGAGAACGTCGGGGAGAGGCTGCAGCGGAAGCTGTCTGATACTATTATGTGAATGCTGGATAACGGCGACCCTGTTTCTTTTCGACCAGCAGCTCGAATATCATCTCAGCTCTTTCGTAATATCGGCCGGCACATGGCCTCAAAAATCCAATAATGAACACTACATCAACACACATCTCGAGCGCAGCGATTGTCGAGCTCAAGTGGTCGAATATGCGCATGGTGACGGAGCCAATCATTCACCCCTAGCGGCTGCATGAACCCCATACTTCCCATTGGATATTGCTGCCTGTCAGCCTTCTTTGCAGCTGTAAAGCCTCACTTCGCGCTCAAGTCGAAGAGCTTGTCACTGAGAAACATACCAACTGGTCTTTGCAGAATACACGAGTAGCCAGAAATTAGTCATGAGACTTTTATCCACTGAGACGAGAGAGTTCGAAGTTTTTGGTCTTGAAAATGCGCCACCTTACGCCGTGCTATCTCATCTTTGGGGGCATGACGAGGTTCTATTTCAAGACGTGAGGGACGGCCGACTTCTACGTCCGAGAGATGGCCTTCGAAAGCTAGCCGCCGCTTGTCATGTTGCCCAAGAGCGAAAGCTCAGGTATATCTGGATTGATACTTGTTGCGTGGACAAGGAAATCGAATCCGAACGAAGTGAAGCAGTCGAGTTCAGCTTCCGCATCTTCAGATCAGCAGCGTTATGCATCGCCTACCTGTCTGACGTTGGATCAGAACGCGCTATGCCGGCCGGGCATGTTTATTTGACCGACAGGAATCTTGACGACAATCTGGAGGGCAGATTTCGACACACATTCAAACGCAGTAGATGGTTTACGCGGTCCTGGGCCTTGCCGGAACTTATTGCTCCACCCGAGCTTGTATTCTACTCCCGTGGATGGGAACTCATCGGCACACGATCGGAGCTCCGGAATCACCTATTTGATATTACTGGTGTTGACACTTTTGTTCTTCAAGGTGGTGATCTCGCAAAGGTATCCGTGGCCCGGAAGATGTTCTGGGCTACGAATCGCAATGCGTATCGACTTGAGGACATTGCATACTCGTTGGCAGGTCTATTTGGCGTCGAGATGATGCCAATTTACGGGGAGGGCAACGAAAACGCATTCTTACGTCTGCAGGAACACATTGCGAAGACTGTCCCAGATCCAACCCTTTTCGCCTGGAGGAAAGATTGGCTCCAGAAGTTCACGACGTGGGATAAGTGCAAAGAGCTTGTCAACTCAAGGTACCTCCGCGACTTTTTGGCAAGCAGTCCAAGTGCCTTTAGCCACTGTGGAAGCATGTTTCCCGCCATGGCTACTGTTGACGACAAGGAGCCAAATCAGAGAGACTTCGACAACGACGATGACGACTATGCGTGGGAAACTAGCTCAGTGGCATCCTTTCAATCGTCAGCAACCACTCTGATTGAGGGTTCGACTTCGACACCGGTCACATCGGGCTTGGGCAACGCGATATCATTCTTGTCCGAAAATGATACTTTATATCCGCTCTTCAAAGCGGCCATGCAGACGCCTGGAGTGGGACTTGACAGACTGCGGAGGAACCTGACCCGGATATTGCGAAACTTGGGCCTGGAATTAGCAGTAGAAGCGACATCCAAGGAAGAAGCTCTGTCCGCTGTGTTTTTCCGTATCTACCGGCTGGCAATCGCGTCAGGAGTCACTTCGAGAATCGCCGAAAAGAGCCTCGCGCCCATCGCCCTCGACCAGCCGAGGACCAACAAATCAGAGGATTTTCCAGGCACCCTGTATGAGGATCCTCGTCCAGATGAAGTTGCACAGCTCGAGCAGGAAGATGACAACCTTGACCAGGGAGAAGGCGATGATGCTCCCGAGGAGAAGGACGAACAAACGAACGAGTTGGACTTTGAGTCTATCAGGGCCTTTGTTCTCTCCAGCGGGGCGTTCGAAAACATGACGAGGAGGCTGTCCGATTTCGTCAACCCTACTTTCCGCACCCTCGCCCAGAAGCTTGTTGCGAAGGTCCTCGAAGGCAAGGACACATTGGAGGACCAGTATTGGATCGACATGAAGGACAAGATGCAAGTCGTTCTGACGGAGCTGGAAGAGTCGAGTCCTGAAAACGTGATGCTGGACGTCAGAAGCACACCAAAAAGGCTCGATGTATTCCAAACTTGGGTGGAAAGAATGACCAAGGAGGATTGGGATTGGTGGCCGCTACCATCTCCCAAGTGTGCTTTGAGCTCCACTGAGGCGCGAGTTGGGTGGCGCTGTGTAAGTTTGACGCATCAGTCACTCAGAGATTCATGTTGCTAACATTGCACACTCAGAGGTGCGGCATATCAAGATGGGAAACCGTGCCAGCGTCATTCGCAGGTAATATTGCAATGCTGCTGCTGAAGTATCCTCTCGCAAGCCGGAACCATACAGCCTCAGCAACCAACCCGGCATCAGACGCTCCGCCGACGTCTTCGAAAATCGATAACACCTCATCGCTAGGAACAAGATCCATCAAGTCTTCCAGCGCCAACGAATTATCAAAGCTGCCTGGCCCAATGTCCTCGCCTAGCCAGGAGAATCAGACTGGTCAGAAGCGCGATTATCCTCGGCCGAGGTACATCTTCTTGCTCGCGACCACGGGTCGGCATCGGCTCAGGCAACTACCCTCGCTCTACCTAGACACCGCAGACTTTGGCCAAGAGTTGCGAAAGGCGTACCGCGAGCTCAAAGGCTTCTGGAGGTGGTGGTTCTCGCCTTACAACTTCTCTCACTGCGAGTTTGTGCGTGTAAGTGATATCCTCTTCTTGGTCCTAAAGCGAGGCAAAGACAACAATAGACTCTTTCATATCACGGCCTCTCGGGATGGATAGCATAGTAGCCCGCGAGCCTGAAGAGCGATACTAAACTTTTGCCAGTTTGAAAAATTCTGCCGCAATGGCTTCGCCCACCGTGGCCTCGAAGTCCCAAGCACATCTCAAAAGGACTACTACTACAACCCACGTCCCGCCCTTCGCGAACCCCCCGTCTCTCCCGAAGAATTCAGCCACGTGTTCCACTACACGGCCAAGAGCGAGTCTGTCCTCTGGAACTCGCTCGGCCTGCCGTTCTACGATACAGTGGAGGCGCTGAGCGACGATACCGTAGGCTGCATACCGCAGCGGTACCACTACCTCGACGAGCGGAGTAATCGCAAAGAGGACTTTTGGGGCCTGTATATCCGGGAACGGCGGTCTGCGCTGATGACGTCGGTGTATATCCTGTTGTGCCTTTCGCCGTTTTTCGTGTTTTGCTTTTTGTACTTGTTTGGAGTTATTTCGGGAGATATACAGAATGCGACAACGCCGCTTGCGTTGGCATTGACTGCTCTTGGATTGTTTTTGGGATCTATGATTAAGTCTTAGGAGGGCAGACACTTACTTTCCGTGGCTTCAGCTGGATCATATGAAGATGGATGGTTGCTTGGCGTTGGAGTCTAATACCAGAAAAGGGTTGAGTCATTGTCACAGCTGGCGTGTCTCAGAGGTCGGTCCTCTTTTTCACCTTGTTACTTCAATTCTCACAGCACTACTACTATAAGGTTCAAAACGCGTGAAGAGTATGTGATCAACAAACAATGAAAGGACGTATTAGACAAGTTCATAATCTCAGCTCTGTGAGTGCAACACCATGTAGAGACCGGCTTTGATAAGTGCGAGGTAAGTAAGGATTAAGTGACCAACCATTACATCGTTGCTGTACAAACACACAACCTGCACTCACTCATACATACCAAATTTCACTTATTCAACCGAACCTCTAACAAACACAACCAAAAAAAAAGAAGTTTTTCACCAGAGACAATGATTCCAAGGACCGACCGCGATTCGAACGCGGGGCCTAGAGATAGGTTGCTGCTAGAAAGCTGCAATCTCTCGCTCTACCACTGAGCTATCGATCCTGGGTTTAAGCGGGATGAAAGGCTTAGTCATCTGGTTGTTGAGATAGAGGGCGTCTCCATTGTCTCATGGAGACTTTGAAATGCAGCAAGGGGACACATAAGCGAAAGGCAGAAAGAGAGAAGCGAGTTGGGGACTTGGGAAGTGGGAACCGTTGATGTGGATGATGTGGTTACATGACACGCTTCGCCTGCAGACGTGGAGTGGGGACTTTTTTTTTTTTTTTTTTTTCCTGCTTAGCAAATTGTGCATATGTAACCATATGAACATGTTCATCGCATGCAGGCGAGAAGGATGGACGGAATATGGAGAAAACTTGACGAGGCTTGGGATACTTCACATTCACAACAGAGACGGGTAACGTAGTGGCGGGCGCTTGAGGGAAACTTGCAAGTGACATTTGAACACAAGTTTGATATTTCGGCTCCCAGTGCTAGCTCCTTCAACCTAGGGCTATGTTAATTAATGTACAGGGCGAGGCCAGTCTAAAACACAACGCTAGAGCTTTAGATACCCAAGGAGAACTCGACGCCGACATCAATGTCACGGGCTGGAAGTTTAGTTAGCAGAGGCTCACAAGTAAAAGAGTGCGGAGCATTTCATGACTTACCCATCTTGACAACCTTGGACAGTTGCACAGCCTTCTCAGCGGCGGTCTGGAGGTCGTCGATAGAGAAGATCTTCATGCCAGAGTTGTTGATGATGTCGTGGGCGGCCTCGACGTTGGTACCCTGGAGACGGGCAATGATGGGGATCTTGAGGTTGAGCTCCTTGGAGGCGTTGATGAGACCCTTGGCGATGAGATCGCAGCGGACGATACCACCGAAAATGTTGACAAAGATGGCAGAGACCTTGGGGTCGCTCGTGATGAGCTCAAAGGCCTCCTTGATGGCGGCGGGGGTGGCACCACCACCGACGTCGAGGAAGTTGGCGGGGGTACCCTTGTTAAGCTTGATGATGTCCATGGTGGCCATGGCCAGACCGGCACCGTTGACGAGGCAGCCGATGTCACCGTCGAGCTTGATAAAGTTGAGGCCGGACTCGGCGGCGCGGACCTCATCGGCGTCCTCCTGGGTGGTGTCGCGGAGGGCGAAGACCTCCTTCTGGCGGTAGTCGGCGTTGTCGTCGAAGCCGAACTTGGCGTCCATGCAGAGGACCTTGTGGTCAGAGGTCTCGGAGAGGGGGTTGATCTCGATCTGGGTGGCGTCCTTCTCGAGGAAGATCTTGTAGAGCTTCTGGATGGTGTCCTTGGCATCCTCGATGCACTGCTCGCTGAAGCCGAGCTTAACGGCGATGTCGCGGGCGATCTCGTCGGTGACACCCTTGTTGATGTCAATGTTGGTGGTGATGATGGCGTCGGGGTTCTCCTTGGCGACGGTCTCGATGTCCATGCCGCCCTGGGAGGAGGAGACGATGACGGGGGCCTGGGAGGCGCGGTCCATCAGGATAGCAAGGTAGAACTCGCGGCGGGCGAACTTGCGCTCGCAAATGTAGACGGAGCTGCAGAGCTTGCCGCCGGCGCCGGTCTGCTTGGTGATGAGCTTGTGGCCAATCATCTGCTCGGCGAACATCTCGGCCTCGGTGGGGGAGTAGATGACGCGAACACCGCCCTTGAGGCCGTTGTCGAAGGTGCCCTTTCCACGTCCACCGGCGAGGACCTGGGCCTTGATGACCATGTCCTCACCACCAATCTCCTTTGCGATGGCCTTGGCCTCGGCGGCGGTCTTCGCGTTGGATCCCTTGGGGACACCGACTCCATACTAAAAACGAAAAAGCGACCCGCACGTTAGCTATTGTTTGGTTCTTTATCGCGTTGAGCTGGCTGAGAAGCTGCTGAAAAACTGGCCCCCCCGAAAAGGAGTGGGGCCCCATGTATCGCAGATTCTCTGGTGGGTGTGTTTACCTGGCGCAGAAGGTCGGCGGAGAGGTACTCGTGAATGCTGAGGTTTCTCCTTTGTTGCTGGGCAAGGCCCGGGTATCTGGGAGCGGCGACCTTGGAGGAAGTTTGGATGGCAGAAGCCAACCGGCTGCGTCCGAGCTTGAACATGATTGTGAAGGGGGTTTATGTGTTCGTGTCGCGAAGGACGGGGGGTGGTTTTCGAAGATCGGAGGAAGAGGAAAAAACGTCAAGCGCGCCTGTCAATTAAATGACTGACAAGAAGATCCCGACGGGTGGGATGAAAAGGCGCGTGGTGGTAGGAAGGGAAAAGGAAGAGGACTGACGAGGAGTCCTTCGAGTGTGCTGTGATGCAATTGGTTTTGCAGGAAAGCGCTATCTCCAAGCAATCTCAAACGGGAAAACCAGAGGTTTCTGGGCCGCGGGAATTCCCGGTCCTCTGGCTGGTTTTCGCTCGGAACAAAGCTTCAGCCGAGCTACAGGGTTCCACCGCCGCTTTTAGCTGCCAACGGAGCTTGCTTCTTCCGCCAAAACCGTTGCCATGTCTTCTCCTACTACCCTACACATCTAATTTCGAGTAACTGCTAAAGCTGACCTGGTTGATAGCGATGTATTAGCCCATATCTTTGGTTTTCTTCAACTAAGGCATCCCCCCCCCCCCCCCTCAAAACTCAGCATCAGTTTTCCATCGTTGGCCGAGGCACGGGATAGCTCCGTCGAGAAGTCAAGGTCGGATTCGGAGACCATCCGGTAAAGCGGCCGAAAGTGGCCCGAGCTCCGAACCCGTGCACCTGTCAAGACACAACGCCAACCACGTGTCTGCAATGCTGCAGGAAGCTGCATCTGCAGGCTCATCATGTGGCGTCATTTCTTCACCTCGACTTTTAGACATTGCTGTGATCCAGCTTTCTGCACGCTGCCAGGCGGCTTCAGAAGCAGCACGTCCATTTGTGCTCATACTGTTGAAAGACTCACAGATACACCAGAACAAATCTCGTCTCCCCCAGGTCAACTCCAACTTGCCTTTTCTTGAGCGCCATTGCGTATAACCATATTGCGGCATAATATCAACCGAATGAACCCTATCCATCCAATCGCCTTGTCTGATTCGGTGTAGATGCTTTCTTGATGACATTATCGTATGTTCGCAATCGAGAAGTTGTACCTAGGACGTTGAAAACCGCTCGATCGCAGTGTTTAAACCTGCTACAAAGTTAGCGACCATTGTTGAAGTTGTCAAAGGTTGTAGCTTACAGAACTCATCTCCTTCTGGGTTTGGCATGGTACCAGAGCCGGCTCTTCACAACGTCTAATCCACCCACTCTACCATTCGCGTGGCAGCTTATCCGGTGGACATAGGACTCAGATGCCATGCTAAAGATCCAGCAGAGAGCCTTACATATGGCCACCTTCGATGCGAGCTACCGGCTCTGGTACAACACTGACTACGACTGACCATGATCGGCATACGTGGACTAGGACGTAGGCGGGCCGGTCTTGCGCCAATAAACACTGAGCCACGAGTCTGCACAGTATGACAACGGGCAAGACTTTCCTCAATCGTCCCAACCATAGTCGTAGCCTTCGGCTAGCCAGCCACCATGTGCTGATATCTGCTCGAGCTTGATCCAGCCTCCTCGCGGTAGTTGACACCGCAGCTCGAATAAGCCCATCAGCAATTGATAGCAGGCTGCTGGCGGATTGCAATGTTCTGCGCAGCCAAAGGCGTGATGGCGGCTCCCCTTCTTGGTGGGAAGCGGCGGCAGCTGTGCTTTTGTCGTCGTCATCCGTAAGCGTTATTGCGGAGGGCTGGACGTAGCAGGAGAGCTGGTACGAGTGGTATTCCTCAACGCAATGCACATCGGACGCATCGTTCACGAATTCCGGCAGCCGGCAGAAGGGGTTCTGTGGTAGTGTTGTTGAAGAATTGTAGGCAGCGTTTCGCGCATTTGTATGACTCCAGTTTCTTCGTGCCAGGCAATACGAAGGCCGCTGGCACACATCCATTTGGGTTGACCTTTGACCTTTCAAGTATATGTTTTTGATTGAATTTAACCTCAGGGTTCAGGTGGTTGGGCCGACTTGACGATCGGCTGTGATGTGAAGGTCAATCCATCTTAAGGCTAGAATGGCTCAGTCGCACTGGATGAGGCGAGACTTTAGACGACCTGGGCTCAAAAGTGATGGGTCTTTGGATAGCTAGGCATGACAGCCATTGGATCCGTAGAAGCTTCATCGGCTCTAGGCTGCTCTTGGTTCAGCAAAGGTTTTCAGACAGGTGCTGGTAAAGACTCACTCATCGAAGTGCAATTTTATTGCTCAAACTAGAAGATACGAGAGCCCCAATGAGCAAGAACAATACCTAATGACTCTGCTGCATGTTAGATACCAGAATGAAAGAAGCGATGTAGGAGCCGCCTTAGCAAGCCTAGTTGCGAGTTTGGCAAGACCCCTGTCTTTGATCTGATATGACCTTCATTTTGTCTCAGCAAAACTTTTTGCTTTGAAGCCGTTCAGTCACTGCTTCAACTCCAATGTCTCCAAAGGGAAAAGGAATCAAAAAGTAACCAGCAAGGAAGAGCAGAAGAAAGAAACACATCAACAATCAAAAGCGTCGGGCCGGAAGAACCTATATCATCAAATTGGCTCCGATGCGACGCCGGACGTAGTGATCAGGCCATTCCACTCCGCAAATCCCAGGACCCATCTCCGAGAACCCTCCAGCCACAGCATCTGTCGGCACAGAATGGATACCACTTCGGCTATTGCGATTCTCGGATGAAGGGGCGTCCACAACAACCGTCAAACGGAAGGGAAAGGATCCACCGTGAGGCTCAACAGACATGTCGTTTCCCGGCCTGCGGTTAACTCTCTTAAATTCCCCTCGAGATCCCAGTCGTCGTGACCGTTTGGCCTTACAATACCCTTGCCACGGGAATAGCGTTCCCATGCATCTCTCCCGTTTCTTGAATTTTCTTAGCTTGCATGCTAGCGAAAGGCCCTCCCGGCGGACACTTCCCGAACCTTGCCCATATCTATTGGCATTGACCAGGGTCGATGACGCGAATTTTGCTTTTGTTCGGGATGATTCCTTGACGGGGTCTGGACTTTGGTGTTGCGGTTGATGGAGATAACCGTCATTTCTTCTCGCCACTTATTCCCGGGTTTTATCCTTCACGAAGACACCTCCAAAACTTTTCACAGGAGACCAAATATTTCTCTCTCTCTTTCGGTTTCCGAGCAGAGACAACAGGCTGAAGGTGTCCGCTAGCTACCGTTTGCTGATCGCCCGGATGATCGGCGTCTTACACAGCTCGCGGTCGCAGTCGCAGTCGCGAAACCGTTGACGACGTCGCAGCCACAACCGCAACCTCGCAACGACGAAGCCACCAAACAGTTTCAAGTAGGACACCGCTCAGGTCTTATCGCACGCCCAATAATAGAAAGACGAAAAAAAAAACTGTTGATTTCATGATGGGATAGGCTCCACATCGTATGTTGGCCGTAGGAACAACAAGGAAAAGCGGGCACTGACATTGCGAAGACTCTCCGAACCAGTTCCGAGCCAACTTCAAGGTGAGGTGAGAAGACGTGGGAGGCGATTGGCGAAGCCGCGAATGTGACTAACCCAACCAGTACGTACCTTCCTTCGAACCTCACAAATCTCGCGACTAACTTGTACCTAGACCGTTTTTTTTCTCACCTTTCTCTCATCTTTCCAGACGCCGTCTTCTTTGAGATTTTGCTAGTCTTCCTGGACTCGAGTGAGCCTTGGAGATGTGGACGGACAGCGAATGCAGTCTTCCTGAATGTGCCACCAAGGAAGCAAGAAGCACATGGCATCGCACTTTGGAGGTGCGCCGGCGGCGGCAGCCAGCCCGGTGCTAGCTACTTAGGTAGCCAAGCGCCCAGTCGAGATTATTTTTCGCACACCTCAGCCGGGGCGTCGAGCTTTTGCAAGTGTGCAAGCCGTCCACTCAGCTCAGCTTCACATGCAGGTAGGTCATGGGTATTACCATCAAGGGGTCCCACAAGACCGTCTTTGACCTGGGCTCGGCCGGCCGTGGTCTCGGAGGTCATGCATCGTGGGTATATAATCTCACTGGGGGCCACCTTTTCCCGAGAAGTCTCCCTTCCCCGTCTCGGTTTTCTTGTCTCTATCTCCAGTTCTGTTTCCTCGCCTTCGTTCCAGAGGCTCTACGCTTTCTCATTAAGGGGGTCACCGTTTGACCTTTACCAAGTCCAGTCGATCTCTACTTATACCCTCATACACACGCATACACATAGACCCTCTGGACTTGGTTCCCTGGTCCCTTGATCCCTTCTTTCTACTTCATCTCTCAAGCTCCAAAAAACATCAACATCACAATGCCTTCCGAACAGAAGCCTCTCAGCTGGTGGAAGCGCCACTGCACCCCGCCGCCAGCCATCAACCGAACTCCCCAGTGTCCCTGCTCCGCCTGCTGGAACGGCAACGGCGAGCACTGGAAGACGACCGCCCCGCAGACCACGGCAACGAGCTACACGTCCATCCCGAGCCAAGCAGCAATAAAAGAGAGACGAGCGATGGCTCTGCGACGAGAGACAGAATCAGACCTGACACCACTCCGCCGCGAAGAGACATCCTCAACGACAAACCTCAGCGTCTACTCCCAAGACAGCAACGCCAGTTCAGACCGCGCTTCTGCCACCGACGTTCACCGCCTAGCCCTAGGAAAGGAAATCATCTAAGAAGTTAGAGAAGGGAGAGGGAGGAAGGGGGAGGGGGATGGAGGGGAAAGCGAATGACAACAACCCGAGCAAAGCTGACTACATCTGGGCCACATTTACCCCGGGAAGTGGCATCTTGGCGTTGGGGGAGTCTGGACCATTCTTTTCGACAATTTCTCTCTACTTTTGTCGCTCAAGCAAGGCCGGCCATCCTTTCATTCAGGCAGGTTGGATCACAACCCCTCAATCCTGCCCCCGGACGCCAAGACGCTTACTATCGTCAACAGCGTCGTTGTTCTCGCAAGCTGCACAAGCGACGGTCCAGAGCACCAGATTTAGGGTTTGAGATGCCAGATAAGGGGTCCTTGGGTCGCAGTCGTTGGACAAACTGGGAGCGACGCCGGCGGGCGTCCACCCCCTAGCTTGTGTTAGCGGGGGTGGTGGACTGGTCCCGTTGGGCTGGTGAGATCTCAATCCTGGGGAAGTGATAGGATGGGGTAAACAGAAACATGCTCTTGGGTCTTGGCCCTTGGGTGTGGTGCCGTGCCGCTGGTGGCTGGCGTGCTAGCTATCTCACTTTTAGCTTGAGGTGGGCTTGGAGAGTTGGGGTAATGACAGGCCTGACCAGGTATGGTATGCCGGGGGGGTTTTGGCTCCCGCATGTCAGCCAGTCAGGCGGGACGGGGAATCAGCCAAATGAGGTTCCCTTGGTTGGTCCGGTGGTCTCTCGGGAAGCCGTGACTTGGATGTTGTTAAGACGATAGACACCACGAGATAGAGAAGGGTGCTTTGGTGTTGGTACATTGCGGAAGGCGTTACTTTTGCACGCAAAGGCATAGGATGACCCTCAGGATTTCTTTTTGCTAGTTCAATAAACATTACACCAAAGACTATGGCAACCGGCTCTCCATACGACCTATCTCATCTTTTGAACGGCTTTCAGTTTTCCATTTCCTTCTCCTCCTACCTTACAATCCCAGAGAATCGTTTCAAAGCTTTGGCAGAGCATGTACGGCCCCATCACGGCCCCGTTGTTTTTCATCTGTCGGGAACATGACCCCACCATTGCACCGGGAGCCGAATCAGGCAATTTTGGAGCAACAAACTTTGGAAAACAGCACGCAATAGCTTTGAAGAGTGATAACAGAAGGGCAATCTCCAACAAAGGTGGTTAACAAAACAAACTATAGAACCTTTCTAAGTCACAACACAACACAGGTAGCGACCACAGCAAAAGGCAAGGACCGACCGCGATTCGAACGCGGGGCCTAGAGATAAACTGCGTTTAACTGCAATCTCTCGCTCTACCACTGAGCTATCGATCCAAGTGGTTATTGGGTGTGAGCGAGGAGGCCGGAGCAGCGTTCAAGTCGGGCGAGAAGACACGGTGGCTGCAAATGACAAACAGAATGGGTCTTTGTGGGGCTGAGAGGCATGCAGCTTGGCGCGGGACAGTCACAGTGTGGAGGCCGTTGCTGTTCTACGTCACTAAGAGCTCACCCCAACGGTCTGAGCTGGTGGCATGTACCTGAGCTCAAGAGCTCAGCTTTGAATCACACAAAGCATCAGCCTGTCAAAACAGACTTGATCGAGTCAATCTCACATATCTCGAAAATGGCACCAAACGTAGATCCAGCTATCCTTGAAGCCCTCCAGCTTGATCCGGAGCAGACCGAAATCGCGTCTCATGGCGGCTCTGGATTCGCATCATCTTTCAAACTCACGTCTGTCATCGATGGTCAGCCCACCAACTTCTTCGTCAAGACGGGCTCCGGGAAAGACGCCGAAGTCATGTTTAGAGGTCAGTGAATCTTAGCTGGAATGGAGAGTAGTCTAGTGAAGAAACACATTTGCACTCAATTTGGCATCCAAAGCTGTCTTGAAGCAGGAGCATTGACACTTCCCGCAGGCGAACATGAATCGCTAAACGCAATCCACAACGCCGTGCCGAATTTCTGCCCAAAGTCACACGCCCACGGGCGATACCAGTCATCGCCGGGCACATACTTTCTCGTCACAGATTTCTTGGACCTGGGATCCTCGGCCCCTGGCGGATCCGGCCTGTCACTAGCCGCGAAGCTCGCCAAGATGCACACGACCCTGGCGCCCGTCCCGGAGGGGTTCGACAGGCCCATGTACGGTTTTCCCGTGAGCACCTGCTGCGGTTCGACGCCGCAGGACAACGCGTGGAAGGAGACGTGGGCCGAGTTCTATGCCGAGAACCGGCTGCGCGGTGTCTTACGCGCGGGGATCAGGAGGAACGGTGACGACGGAGAGTTGTCTCAGGCTGTGGAGACCGTTGCGAGCCGAATCGTTCCGCGGTTGATCGGCGATGACCGCGTCAAGGGCACTCAGCCGGTGGTGATCCACGGGGATCTATGGAGCGGGAACCACGGCCGGGGCCAGATTGCGGGCAAGGGCGGCGCGGAGGAGGTTGTCTTCGACTCGTCAGCCGTTTACGGGCACGCCGAGTACGAGCTAGGCATCATGAAGATGTTTGGTGGCTTCGGGAGCGGATTTTGGACCGAATACAATAAGCTGGTGCCAAAGGCGGAACCAGTAGAGGAATGGGATGATCGGGTTGCGCTTTACGAGTTGTAAGTCTACTCCCCTCGCTTCGCTTCGGGCTTTCGCCCACTTGCTCGAAGGGGGGTTGCCATGGTGATTTGCCCCGCTAACTTGTAGGTGGCGCAGATATCACCACCTCAACCACTATGCGATATTTGGTGGAGGATACCGCGGAGGCGCCATGGGGATCATGAAGAAGCTGATTTCAAAATATGGCTGATTCAATTGGACTTTTACCAGTATTACCATGGCGTTGGGAAGATTGGCTTGAGCTTGAGGAATTCCACATTAAAGCCGGCCCGCGCCGGTGGGAACCATGAACTTTGTATTAGCGGCCAACCGAAATGAATGACAGCTCTTAGTTTCAGGGACGGGAGCACTGTCGTCTCCGTTGAATTTCGAGAAATTGTAATCAGGACCCCAATATAATGTCTGATTGCCCGTATAATTCACCATGGCCAGTCCGCTATTCAACGGAGATACCTCACATGTCGTGGTCACGTCGTCTGATGTTTTTCGAGGGGATTTTAGAGAGGTGCCAGGATTCACATGCCAGGGGTTGCCCTGAGACCGAGCCTGTTCTGGCCACTCGTTGGGAACTTGGGAGAAGGAAGCAGCACGGACCAACCATTCATCCGGCGCAACTGCACACTCTACCACAGTCCACAGGGCAGTAAAGCCAGGTGGGAAAGGCAAGATTAACGGCCCATGACAGGGGAATTTGATCACAAGGGTCGATGTGGTCACTTCCTTTCCCAGCTGCCAACTCCCATTAGCACGCACTGCACTTTCGCCCCTGTTGCTACATTGCACCCGAACAACGTTTGGCTTGCTCTCCCATTCCTTTTCTTTCCTCTTCTCCTTACCTATATCTGGAAAACGACAATGACCAAATAAAACATACGAGACTTGCCCCTCCACATTATTTGCTTCACCCGTCGCTGCAACCATGAACGGCCACTTTGCTGCTGTCGGCGAAGAACCGGATGCCCAGAACTATGAGCATGGCATCCAGGTCATTGACGATCAGAAGGACTTCAAGTACGATACAAACTCCCCCGCCTCAACGAACCGACCATGACCAACGGCCAACTAATCTTTTGACAGCTCCCATGTCGCAACATACTTGCAAAAAGTGCGCGTCGCCGAGGCGGGGTTCAACTACCACCTCATCTCCGTCTTCGGCTCCCAATCCACCGGCAAGTCGACGCTGCTGAACAACCTCTTTGGTACCGACTTCTCCGTCATGTCCGAGACGATGCGCCAGCAGACCACCAAGGGAATATGGATGTCCAAGAATAAGAAGGAATCCGGCATGGCCGAGAACATCATCGTCATGGATGTTGAGGGAACCGATGGCCGCGAGCGTGGCGAGGACCAAGACTTCGAGAGAAAGAGCGCGCTATTCGCATTGGCAACTAGCGAAGTCTTGATTGTCAACCTCTGGGAGACACAGGTCGGCCTGTATAACGGCGCCAACATGGGCCTACTCAAGACCGTCTTCGAGGTTAACCTACAGCTCTTCCTTAAAGACAAGCAGTAAGTCGCCCTGCGCGTGAGTAACCCTGCGGCTCGCTAACAGGCCACACAGGTCGAGTCTGAGATCACTTCTCTTCTTCGTTATCCGAGACCACCTTGGCACGACGCCCCTTGCGAACCTGCGCAACACCCTGGTCCAGGACCTGACCAAGATCTGGTCCTCCATTTCCAAGCCGCAGGGCCTCGAAAACTCGCGCATCGAGGACTACTTCGACTTCGCCTTTGCCGCCCTCCCCCACAAGATCCTGCAGGCTGATAAGTTCACTACCGAGATCCAGAACCTGGGGAGGAGGTTCACTGCGGGGCACCGCACGAGTGGGGTCAGCACTCAGGAGTTCGATGGCGGTGTGTTCCTCCCCGAGTACCACCGACGCATTCCCGCCGACGGCTTTTCACTCTACGCCGAGGGCATCTGGGATCAGATTGTCAACAACAAGGACCTGGATTTGCCGACACAGCAGGAGCTGCTTGCGCAGTTCCGTTGCGATGAGATCTCGAGAGAGGTCTTGATTGGATTCGATACTGCCGTTGTACCGCTCGAAGAGAAGCAATCCGAGTCTGCCAGAGCCGGTAAGCCCGCGGTACTGGCCGATCTAGGTGCGACGGGACGCGATTCTCGTGAGAAGTGTCTCAAGGCATTCGAGATTCAGGCCAGCAGATATCACAAGGGCGTCTACACGCGCAAGCGCCAAGACTTGGAAGCTAAGATCGACGGCCGCCTCAAGACGCTCTACAACGCACAGCTGTCGGCCGCTCACAAAGCCGCCATTGCTTCCTTCAGTGAGCACGTATCGGGCGCTGTCAAGGCTGGCCAAAAGTCTGGCGCGGCCTATGAGTTTGCTGAAATTGTTACCGAGGAGAAGAAGAAGACGCTCGAGTTTTTCAAGACTGAGGCCGAGAGCCTCGCCATCCCTGGCGTCGCTTGGTCCAACTTTAAGTCACAGTACGTGTTGTTTGAGAAGGAGTTGGACGATGTGAGCGGTAAGCTGCGCAAGGAAGAGATGCGCCGGTTGGCCACGAGGGTGGAGCGATGGGTCAAGTCCCGCTTGGGCGATGCGATTGGCCTTGAATTCAATAAGCTCGGTTCCGGTAGAGCTGGGTCCGGCGCCCCTGAGACTGGCGAGAAGCCTGCGGAGAAGGATCTTTGGGATCGCATCTGGACCGTGTTTGTCGATATTGTCAAGGACGCACAGGGCAGGTTCACCGACCGTGCCAAGAGCTTCGAAGCCACCCAGGATGAGGTCGAGGTTGGTCTCTGGCGCCTCAGGCGCAAGAGTTGGGTTGCTCTGCGCGAGAAGATTGAGGAAGAGGTCATGGAGGGCAACATTTTGTTGAAGCTGAGAGAAAACTTTGAGGACAAGTTCAGATACGACGAGGCCGGCGTACCGAGGATCTGGAGACCTACCGACGACATTGAGGGCATCTACACCAAGGCGAGAGAGTCGACGCTGACGCTCATCCCATTGTTGTCAAAGTTCAAGCTTTCCGAAAGCTACGGACCTCCCGAGTTGCCTGCTTGGATTGGTAACCAACCCCGTGGGGTCGAGCCCAGTGATGAGGAGGATTTGACACCAATTGGTGGTGTTGATGAGGAGGATGGCAAGAGCCTTGAGGAGGAGATGACTGTTCTCAGCGAGAGCAAGCGTCAAGACCTCGTCATCCGGTTCAAGAAGACCGCGGACGGTGTCTACGTCGAGGCCAAGCGTAGTGCTATTGGCGGTGTTGCACAGGTACCGCTGTACTTCTATGCTCTGCTGGTGGCTCTTGGATGGAACGAGATCGTTGCTGGTGAGATTCCTCGCTTTCTGATATTTGTTGAATTACATGCTAACTTACAACAGTCCTGCGCAACCCGTTCCTCTTCGTCTTCCTCATCATGCTCGCCGGAGGAACCTACGTCGCATACACGCTCAACATGCTCGGCCCCATGTACCAGATGGCCAACGCGGCCGCTAACCAGGGCGTCGAAATCGGCAAGGCGAAGCTGCGCGAGTTCATCGAGAACTCAGACACGGCGCGGCAAGCGCTCGCCATGCCCGCCCGCGATAGCGACTCCATCAGCATGGACACGCTCGACAGCCGGGGCAAGAAGAAGAGCGGCGAGGATGACATCGATGACATTTAGAATTTTGTCTCCCTCGCGCGCGCGCGCGTGTTTGCGTGTTTAGGTTCAGGTAGTCGTGACAGCTGAAAATGATGCTGCGTTCCAGACGCCCGATAGAGCGAGGGAAGAAGGGGCTTTATGAATAGGGAGGCAAAGGATATAATGTCTATAAGATACGTTTTTCAGTTACGATGACGTGCCATGTGCCACCCGTGAAATCGCATGAACTTGCTCGTAGGATGTCGTCAGCCTTCATTGAGATTTTCATAGGAAAGGATTTGAGGCAATAGGATGAAACGAAGTAAGTTGCGTCAACGGCTTCTGCTTTTACATGTCTGCTGTGTATCACCGAGTCCTTTCACAGAGTACACTTTTGCAACGGCAAGGTTATTACAGAAATAAAAGCCCAATATGTAAGAAACGCGATGTCGTGGATATTGATTGATGCAATTACAACCCTCCCTTCAAACCCACAAAAGGCAGCCGCTACTCCTCATGATAGTCCTCCAACTCGCTCATCTCACAACACGACGCAAGCTCTCAAACACGTCAAGAGACTCAATTCTCATCGCCAGCTCTCTCTCTCCCCTCAGGTTAAAAAAAAAAGCAAAAAGTCCCGTTCTCGAATCCAACAGAACTACTACGAATTGAGGTCGCCCAACTGACAAGCTTTTTTGTGGGTAACGGAGAGCAGGAAATGGGATATCTCGCAAAACACACACACACACACACACCGCCGACAGATCAAGCAATTAAAGAAACCTAACAGACGAGCCCGTGAACCCCAGCGGTCTCTATTATCCATACATCGACTTTCAGCCTATCGTCGTATCCTGAGAGAAACTGGCTCCGGCATTGCTCATCTCGCAACCCTGGGCAAAGAAGATGCGAGCTGGGGTTTCATAATCATTGTGGATACTGTAATAGTTCCCTACGCGACAGTCAGTGAAACATTCATACTCAAGACGCAGATAGGGAACCGCTTACCTCTTGGCACAAACCACATGCCACCGGCGCTTATTCTAAACTGGGACTCGTGTACCGTAACCAAGACCTTGCCTTGAAAAACGAAAAACACCATCTGCATCTTACGCGAGTTTTTCGGCCGCTTTTCTGAGCCGGGCGGGAGGTCGACAACGCCCGAGCCGAAGAACGGCAAGCTGAGCGTCTTTGCGAAGCGGAACGTCGCGTCCCGAATGTCCCTCGTCTGGATGGCGCCCGCGGCGACGGCGATCCGCTCCTCGTCGATCTCGACCTGCTCGTTGATAGCGGGCGGGTTGAACTCGTGCTCCGGCTGCCAGACCACGATCTCGCCGTCGACGCTGCCCGGGTCCTGTTCCCACGGTTCCGCCGGCTCTTCGTCTTCGGATTCGACCTGCTGTCGTCGCCTGCCTGCCTTGGCGGTAGGCCTGCGGCCTCTCGGCTTGCCCTTCCGCGCTGCCTCCCGCTCCTCCTCCTCGACGCGGACGACCTCCTTGACGCTCGGCAGGAGGAACCTGTTGCCCTTCTTTCCATCTTCGAAAGCCTCGTCCTCGTCATAGGTGACATGCTCGTTCTTCCAAAACGCCAACGGCCTGTAGGACTGACGACCGGATCTCGTGTGGGTGATGGAGTGGGGGTCCTGCTTCTGCTTCTGCGAGACTAGACCGCGCGCTTTGGGCATGGGCGGCCCCTTTTGCACCACGCCCAGAATCGAGTCCTCGCCCGCTGCGGCTTGCGGCTTGCGTCCTGGCCTGCCTTTGGGTCCTGGTTTGGCTTTTGAGGCGGCTTTGGCCGTCTCCTTCGATGATTCGCCCTCTTCCTCCTGGGGAACAGCTTTGGGCCGCCCCCTTGCTCCGCCCGTTGCTTTCTTTGGTTCTTTTCGCTGCCGTTTGGATGCGCGATCGTCTTCTTCCGCTTGCTCCGCCTTGTCTCCGTCGGAATTACGTGAGCGTCTTCGTTTAGGCGCGCTGACCTCTTCCGCTTCAGGCTCAGGTTCGTCTGACTGAGTCTTCTCCTTGCCCTTACCCTTTGCTGGCCTGCCTCTCCTTTTGACGGGCGCTTGGTCTAGTTCGGACTCGTGGCTTGACTGTGCTTCCGCCTCTTCCTGGACAACCGGCTTCGCCTTGGCTGGTCGGCCTTTTCGCTTGGCAGGCTGCTTCGGAGCCTCCACTTCTGAAATTTCCTCTGTTTCCGATGCTGCTGGCTCAGATTCAGGTTCTGGCACTTCACCATCGTCCATGCTGACCATTTGCATCGACTCCTCCTCCCCGTTTTCGACATGACCATTTTGCGCCTGTAACACAGCCTCCTCGTCTTCCTCATCTTCAGAAGAGACTGTGCGTCCACTCTTGAATCCGTTGGGACGTTTGCCGTTCAACCCGGGTCCGTTCTTCTCCAGCGCGCCGTAGTCAAGTTTGCGTGATACCGGAGCTCCACGAGTTGGCTGAGGTTCTATCGGTGACGATGATCTCCGCTGTGGTGACAGCCTTGTCGGTGACGATGAAGGTCCGAAGCTCGGGTGGCGCATCGCAGGTGATCCGAGGTTGGTCTTGCGCGGGGAGGTTCCTCGGGGAACGAGCCGAGGGTGGTTCTTCATAATAGTGGAAGGCCCGGGACCGGATTCTGACACGGAAACTTCGTCAGAAACCGAGCGATATTGCACAATATCAGTAGGACTTACCTGACTCCAGTTCCATGTCCTGTTCTCCATCGTCGCTGGCGGATCCATTGTCCTTCTCCGGTGAGGAGAACAGGCCGTCGATGGGTTGCATGCCATGTTCGTCGCGTACGCCCGTGTCAGGCAATTCAATGCCAGTCTTGCTGTAGGGATGTCAGTCTAACAAGTCCATATGCAAGTTCGAGCTTGCGATCCACGCCAGCCCGAGGGAAGGAGTGCGCGACGCACCGTCCTTTCACACCAAGCTCATGGAAATCGCCTGTGGAGGTTTCGCGACGGCGGACGTTGCTCTGTCGCGGAGGTGCCATTGCGAATGTGGAGTTGTGAAATGGTCCTGTTCGAGAAATTTGATCAAAATTCGAGATGGAGCATCCCGATCTAGGTCTTCAGCACGAGTGACTCGGGTGAGAATGGAGGGACGTCGTGGATCGGATCGTGGTCGTGTTTATCTTGGGGTGATGTATTGTTGGGGAGGTTGCCGCGCGCAACTTTTTGGTTGACAAGTAAATTGACGACGCGCGCTGGATACACCTGTGTCGATGGACTTTCAGTGGCCCGGACCTGCTGCAAATCGGGGTTGACAGGGGCAGGTACGTGTGGACTTGGCGCCCCTGCCTAACGCGTCCCCATTAATCTAGACGCGTCGAGGGGCTAGCCAACAAGATTTCCCGATCCTAAGTTCAAGTTACTTTGTGTGAACAACTGACCTTGAATTTCACAGTCTCAACTATTTTGGTATTCAGCTCGGAGTTTGGAAAAAGAAGTGTTGCACTTGTTTCTCAGAAGATACCCATACGACGACTCGCCGCTCATACGACACTGCTCTTTTACCTATACCGCGGTACTGAGAGCCAAGACGAATCCAGATTGCTCTCAACTCATCTCCAACTCACCAGTCACAATGGAAGACTCTCCAATGGTCGAGGATATTGCTCTCGAGACTCCAGTCCCGGGCGCCTTTGTTCCCCCTTCCATCAACGAAAAGGCCATTCTCTCAGGCGACTCATACACATACTTCTCCCCAGTTCCCTCAACGCTTCTCCCACCAGCCTCATCGACAAAAACCAGCACGCCTGACGAATCAGATTCACCAGCAGCGTCCGGCACTCCAGTCTGCTTAGGTGTCGATGAGGCCGGCCGCGGACCGGTCTTGGGACCCATGGTGTATGGTGTCTTTTACCTACCCATTCCCCTCTCGGATCCCTTACTCCGTGAGACCCATCACTTTGACGACTCCAAAGTGCTTACACCGGCCGTCCGCTCACAACTCATGACGGCTCTATGTACGCCGGGCTCCGACCTGGCCGAGACTTGCGGCTTCGCCATCTCAGCACTCAGTGCCCGAGATATCTCATCAGGCATGATGCGCCCGGGGGCTAACTACAACCTCAACGCCCAGGCCATGGATGCCACGGTTGACTTGATCAAGGGTGTCTTTGCCCAGGGCGTCAACATCCAGGAGATTTACGTCGACACCGTCGGTCAGCCCGCCGCCTACCAAGCGAAGCTCCAGCGCTTCTTCCCCGCAACGAAGATCACAGTCGCGAAGAAGGCAGACAGTCTCTACCCCTGCGTGTCAGCCGCTTCTGTATGTGCAAAGGTCACCCGTGACGTTGCCCTTGAGGTTCTCTACAAGGGGCGAGCCCCTGAAGCTGCGGCAGAGGGAGAGGAGGGCATGGCTTGGGGTTCGGGATATCCATCAGATGGACGATGTGTGTCATGGATGAGATCTAACATGCACCCGGTGTTTGGATGGGGTCCCGAATGCCGATTCAGCTGGGGCACGGCCAAGGACATGCTCGAGGCAAAGGGAAACCCAAAGGTGGAATGGCCGGTCGAAGATGACGGCGATACCGCGCGGATGACAGACTACTTTGCGTCAGGGAACAGGGAAGAAGATGGTGATGAATTGGGGACTTGGTTTGGCAGGCCGGCTGGCCTAGAGGCGTTTTAGTATAATAGTTCAGATTGGGATTGTAAAGTATGTCTCGCTGTTTGAATGTCGCCTTGAAGGTGTTAATATCTTGCGCTGCCTACCCTTACGACGTCCACGTGTATGACCGACAATATGTGAACAGGCTGCAGTAAACAACGATGGTTTACTTACGTTTAAGTCTCATCGACATCGTCTACAGATAGTGCCTTACCATTGTATCATTATGTCTGTAAAGTAGAGTCAGCCACTGTCATGTCACAGTCCTTCGATGAGGTGGTCGGTCGGCGTCGTACAGTCCCCGGCTGCGTCTGGCTAGCATCATGAACAGCTTCATTGTCCGCGTTTCTTAGTATAACCATGTTCCAAGTGTTGACAAATAGCGACAAGCCAATGCCTTGCATTCGTTCACCTTCTCAGCCATGCCAATCCTGGCCAGTCACACGATTCCTATCATTTATTGGCGTGTCTGTGGGGCACCTCGTCATGCTGTCTACTTCACTCGCAGCCAAGATGGTCTCCTCTTGGTCTGGTCATCGTCTCGTTTTGACGATGAACACACTTGCACACTCTATGTACAGCTATCATGATCGATCCATTCTGAAAGACAGGAAAACACGTACCATCAATTTCCATCGCCACATGATCGCATCTTCCGTTGGCTACTTTTCAACATAGAGTAGATAGGCTTATTTTGGGTTTCTCACCACCGTGTTGATCAGCCATGAGAGCACTCAATACTTGATGTATTCGGTATAAATCACATTTTGGTTGTCAGAGATGTTGGAAAGCTCCCAGGTAGCCTGTCCTTGATCACAAACTTTTCGTTGGCTCAGCCATGATCGGGAACCTTCATTTTAACATCAATTTTCACTTGCGCTTCTTTGCTGAACACTTTATGCCCAATACGTGTGAGAAACGATATGCACCTCAGTTGCTGGGATGTTCACATCCTCCCTCTGATCAGTAAATAATCGGCCAGGTCAGCAGGCCCCTCCCTCTCCGTCAGTCACTTGACTGCGGCAAGTTTACAGGAAGTTTTTCACTCGATCCTTGGGGATTGAACAGCTGCGGAAAGCATTGAAGCAGAATCACGATAGTTTCGAGTGTTCCCTGCTCACAAAGGGGACATTTTGGGGTGGCGGTAAACTAATAATACTTACTACCAGGATACATTATAAGGAAGCCAGCACGGCATGGCCATCATTAATTCAGGACTGTGACATGGATAGAAAATCTACGTGACATATAACTATTTCGGAAGGATTGTTCGAAATCTGAAAAGACCTGGGTTAGCCGAAGCGGCGTTTTCCTTTCAACAGAATCACCGGGCGGTAAAGGCACTGTTCACGTTCAAAGAGCCTCACGGTTGGCGAAGAAGCGCAAGTCTGAACCCGCAGGAGATATTACGGAGGCAAGCTAAGGCGACTACTCCATTCATATAATTAAAGGCAATCTTCCCCGTATCGATTATGCGTAACCTGTCCACGATATACTCTACCAGACGTATTCATCCTTTGCCCTACTATCGTTCCCGAACCAATACGCTTTACTTGCCGCGAATCCGTCAACGAAACACTATTACAAGAGCCATTGGTCGCTTTGTTTCCGCGCTTGACTCTGAACTTACTTCCTTGCCGTAAGCTTCATCATGTCGTTTCCTGGTACCACTGTTAGAGCCAGAATCAACAAATTCTGGGACCCAACTGAGGATGCGTCACTTTACGGGACGAAAGGCAACCACCTGCTGCTCGATGAGGGCACTGCCGGAATAATTCGGAACCCTGCCAAAAAGATTAAAGACCGATATCTAGAGTTTGAGGTTTACGGTCGGGAGGACACTCGCTGGGGACTTTATTGCAACCCGGACAAGTTCAAGGACCCTGCCATCGTTCCTGAGGAATTCCTCGAAATAGGCCCTCTCTTGTCGTTAAGTTCCTGTAAGGAACTTGAGAGGTCGGCCTCGGCTGCGGAGGCTAACGAAGGGATCGAGATGCCGTTTGAACGCCTTCTCGTCACATTCTTCGAGTCGTGTAAAATTCGTAATGATGATCTAGGTCGTGCCGGGGTGAGTCTTCGTCAGCTTGACATGTTGAAGAAGCCAAAGAAAATCAGGAGCATCGCGAAAAAAATGGTTCAAGGTCAGTGGACGAAGTAACTTGTGACGAGAAAATGAGATGTTGAGAGTAAAGCTAGGTTTCGAGAAGATGGGAACTCTTGATTTGTTTCGAAATGGAATGCCCAGCCTCAAGGAAATCATATCGAGGGCTACCGAGGTCGATAGACTCCCTGCTGGGGAGAGAAACAACCTAGACAACGAGCACGTACTCTACATCACTGTCTACTATGGGAAGGACGACTCTTCTTCGGGAAATTTCAAAGCCCATTGCTTCTGGAAGATGAGCACGAAGGGAACTGAATACGTGAACAGCCAACGACAGAAGATCGAGTCCACGGTGCCATCCCGCTATTCAGTCAACCATTACGAGTACATGAAGAGCTTCCTCAAAGAACACAAAGGAAAGTGGGCCATCTATCCCATCGCCAAGATGGGGAAGCCTGACCCCTCTGACGACCCATCATGGCATACTTGGGCAGAACAGGCAATGATTGCTCTTTACGATGCCTATCATCCAGGCATGCGAGACATGTCTTGGGAGGGCTTCAAAAACCCGGCCACCTGTTTGCCCGGTCAAGTCGCTAGTATATTTACAACAATCGCTGCGTTATTGACGAAATCCGAAGCATTTTCTTCATTCGCGAGACCCAGCTTCCAAGCTAGCCCTGGCCCGGAGAGCGGCATCGAGAGTGGCCTTGAGAGTGGCCTTAATTGGAACAGTCCAGTCTTGGAGCTGTATCGTGTTGCAAATGGCCTTTGGACGGGGCCAGAAAGAATCCGTCACGAGAATAGTACATCTTGCTGGCTCTACAAGGGACCGCCGTGCAGAGTGGAAGACAATGGTAATGTCAAGGATCCCGATAGACTCGCCGTCACCTTTTGTACACGCCCAATGCCAGAAGGCGTACTGGGCACGAAGGAAACCATCCAGCGCCTCCGCCTTCCTTTGGGAAAGAATGAAGGCGGCGAATGGAAAGTCAAGGATGGCGACTACGTGATTCCTGTAGTCGAGATTGCATTTTCGTCGACGAGTAATCGCCATCCTTGTGCATACGAGAAGTTTGATGGCGTCGGTCTATTCGACAACTTCATGGAAGTGTTCAGAGTCGCGTATCGCATCGAGTATACGAATGCAGACGGAAACCTCGAGACTAGATACTTGACACAGGAATCAGCAGTTCCACTGCCAGATCTCTCGAGGAGCCATGGTACGAAAGAACAAAGAAACTCTATGGACGGGAATTGGGCCCAGGCAACGTCCGTCCTCGCTCCATTTATAAATAAGTGGAAAAGGGGACCCGAAAGTGTCCCAAGCACCCTCATAGACGGGTGGCCGATCAGGCTTCGCAAAGTCGAACCCAATTTCTTCACAGAGGGACTGAGGGTTGCTACTCCCGAGAAACCAGAATCGGACGGGCCCAAAATGCTTTCCGGCGACAACCGAGGGAAATTACTTGACGGGAGGAGTGGTTTTGAAACTCAGTGGTATTCCACGAGCGAAACCACTTGGCAGCAGCCATTCGTTATCAAGGAAATAAGCACTTCTCAAGCTTCAGAGGCTGGTCAAACAGAGAAAGCAGGCGATAAAATTGTCAAGCGCAAGGAGATGAGTCGTTTCGTTTACGACTCAATGACGGCTTTTGATCCCGAGGAGGATATTTAGGGCGGAAGAAAGGACCAGACAGATATGGAGATATGCGACATTTTTGATAGCAGAGGCCGCTCTCGCGCTTTCTTGAGGTCAATTTCATAGTCCCCTCGCGCTGTGGGTACACTATGCAATCAATCAACTCGAAATGCATTTGCGGGACTATGATACCCGAAGAGCCGTCCGGGCTGTGGTTATCTCAAGGTTCCGAGCCCGATTTGAGACCCACTTATCACGGGATTCTCCTTTGTCACGGCCGGCCGGTCGGCCGGGTAAGTGGGGCCATTTCCGATTGTCGCAGAATTTACGGAGAATAAGCCCTCTTTACGGAGTATCCGTGCCTCCCTTAGGTTATCTAAGGTATTTTGCCATTCCTGCTGGTGTCGGCGGAATTTCTGTTCTTACCTCCACTCTTGGTTGCTTAGTCGTTGTTGGGTACTGCCATCCGTGAAAGCATCAGGTACGAATACGTACCGAAAAAATGCGAGGCAGAAAAATACAGAGGGGACCATAGTAATAGGAAGAACAGGAGGAGCAGAAGAAGAAAAACCCGCAATGGTGGGTTTCATTGGGCTGCCATGGCAACAAAGGCTGCCCTTTGCGCACCTGCATGTAGTGTTCACCACTTCACACACCACCAATCCTAAGAATAGTTGCGATAGCAGCCTGATTTCCCACATCAATTCCTTTTGCCTAGCTGTTGCAGTCTGCCTGAATGTTCCTCTCAATGCTGCAGTCCCTTGCGCCCCCTTGCCTTCGCCGCCGCATTCCTTGGCGCTCACAGCCCAACTGACATTGATTGAATTCAATTGTCGCCTTTTGGTTGCTTGAAATTGATGTGTCTGACTAAGGTCCAAAATGGAGATTCGAGATGATTGTGGTGGATGATAGATGCTTCATGAAGAGTCGCTGGGTCCGGTCGCTGGGCCACGCAGTGGCCCAGCTGCGTGGCCCAGTCTGGATGATATCACCTCACCAGCGATGGAAATTCTCTTTTCTGGAGCGGTGTGGATTCGTGGACGAGAGGGGAAAAGTAGAGGATACCTACACAGACCAGTTTTAAGGCGTGCATGGGAGCCAAGCCAGGGTACTGCGACAAGGGGCGCAAACGGGCTGCCCCTCCATAGACTTCATGGAAGGTTATGATGTCAGCGAATCGCCTTTCGCAGAATCTTTCTCACATCGTTGGAATCGCCTTGCGAAGCGCTGGGGAATTGCCTCGAATCCTGGAAAATTGGAAACTTTGCCTCCTGGAGAGGCTGAAAAGGCCCTAGTCCCGAATTAATCCTTGTAGGGGTTGGTAGAAAATTTCAGGCGTGTTCGAGAGGCTCCTGGAAGTGTCCCCAGCTGGGCCGCAGCGATTGTGGTACCCCACCAATTGAGGGTAGGTGGAAGAGGAAAGAACCATTTCGAATTTTTGCGGGGCACTGAGTCGCTCCTGCCTCCTACCTGCCTTCTACCTTTTAAGAATCCAAACACCAACTCTTTGCATCTTCCGATTCCTCACTCTTCACGAAATCCATTCTCCTTCTTAATACCCATCAAAAATCAGAAGTGTCCAGCGCATTTCTTTTTTCACCGAATTCTTGATCGCTGATATCAACTCTACCGGAATACAACTTCTCCCGGTTACGCGCACGAAGATACCCCTCCTTCACACGCAAACTCTCGAAACACCACAACTCTTCTTCTACACAACACAACCATCACAATGGCTTCCGGAGGCAAGGCTGTCGGTATCGACTTGGGTACTACCTACTCGTAAGTAGTTCTTCTCCTGCTCTTTTTCCCTCTTCTTTGCGCGCCTTCCCGCCGCAGTTTCTTATCCTCGCCCAACATGATCATAACTTGTACTAACAACAACTAGATGCGTCGCATACTACTCCAACGACAAGATTGAGATCATTGCAAACGATCAGGGAAACAGGACTACTCCTAGTTTTGGTTCGAAATTTCGATTCCTCGTTGTCTAGAACAATTTTGCTAACTTTTTCGCAGTTGGTTTCACCGACACTGAGCGTCTGATCGGAGATGCGGCCAAGAACCAGGTCGCCATGAACCCCCACAACACGGTCTTCGACGCCAAGCGTCTCATTGGCCGCAAGTTCCAGGACTCCGAGGTCCAGGCCGATATGAAGCACTTCCCGTTCAAGGTCATTGAGAAGGGTGGCAAGCCCAACATCGAGGTCGAGTTCAAGGGCGAGACCAAGACCTTCACTCCCGAGGAGATCTCCGCCATGGTCCTGACCAAGATGCGCGAGACTGCTGAGTCTTTCCTGGGTGGCCAGGTCAACAATGCTGGTAAGTAACACATATCCCAACATCACTTCCAGGTCATAGACTAACACATCTCAGTTGTCACTGTCCCCGCTTACTTCAACGACTCCCAGCGTCAGGCTACCAAGGACGCCGGTCTCATTGCCGGTCTCAACGTCCTTCGTATCATCAACGAGCCTACCGCTGCCGCCATTGCCTACGGTCTTGACAAGAAGGCCGAGGGCGAGCGCAATGTTCTCATCTTCGATCTCGGTGGTGGTACTTTCGATGTGTCTCTCCTGACCATTGAGGAGGGCATTTTCGAGGTCAAGTCTACCGCTGGTGACACCCACTTGGGTGGTGAGGACTTCGACAACCGTCTCGTCAACCACTTCGTCAACGAGTTCAAGCGCAAGCACAAGAAGGACCTGTCCTCCAACGCCCGCGCCCTGCGCCGTCTCCGCACCGCTTGCGAGCGTGCCAAGCGCACCCTGTCCTCGTCTGCCCAGACCTCCATCGAGATCGACTCCCTGTTCGAGGGTATCGACTTCTACACCTCTATCACCCGTGCTCGTTTCGAGGAGCTCTGCCAGGACCTGTTCCGCTCTACCATCCAGCCCGTCGACCGTGTCCTCACCGACGCCAAGGTCGACAAGTCCCAAGTCCACGAGATCGTCCTGGTCGGAGGTTCCACCCGTATCCCCCGTGTCCAGAAGCTCATCTCCGACTACTTCAACGGCAAGGAGCCCAACAAGTCCATCAACCCCGATGAGGCTGTTGCCTACGGTGCTGCCGTCCAGGCCGCCATTCTGTCCGGTGACACCTCCTCCAAGAGCACCAACGAGATCCTTCTTCTCGATGTTGCCCCTCTGTCCCTCGGTATCGAGACTGCTGGTGGCATGATGACCAAGCTCATTCCCCGCAACACCACCATTCCCACCAAGAAGTCCGAGGTCTTCTCCACCTTCTCCGACAACCAGCCTGGTGTCCTCATCCAGGTCTACGAGGGTGAGCGCCAGCGCACCAAGGACAACAACCTTCTTGGCAAGTTCGAGCTCACCGGCATTCCCCCCGCTCCCCGCGGTGTTCCCCAGATTGAGGTCACTTTCGACCTTGACGCCAACGGAATCATGAACGTCTCCGCCGTCGAGAAGGGTACCGGCAAGTCCAACAAGATTGTCATCACCAACGACAAGGGCCGCCTTTCCAAGGAGGACATCGAGCGCATGCTTGCTGAGGCCGAGAAGTTCAAGGATGAGGATGAGGCCGAGGCCCAGCGTGTCTCTGCCAAGAACGGCCTCGAGTCTTACGCCTACTCCCTCCGCAACACCCTCAGCGACTCCAAGGTCGATGAGAAGCTTGAGGCTGACGACAAGGAGAAGCTCAAGACTGAGATCGACACCATTGTCACCTGGCTCGACGAGAACCAGCAGGCTACTCGCGAGGAGTACGAGGAGCGCCAGAAGGAGCTCGAGGGCATTGCCAACCCCATCATGATGAAGTTCTACGGCTCTGCTGGCGGTCCCCCTGGTGCTGGAGGCGCCCCTGGTGGCTTCCCCGGTGCTCCCGGTGGCGGCGCTCCCCCCGGCAACCACGACGACGGCCCTACCGTCGAGGAGGTTGACTAAATTGATACCCTTGATGAATTCTTTCCTTAGAGTCCGAGTCATGGGTGTGGCACCGCATCGGCTGCTACTGGGTTTCACGACTAGACTTTTGCTTTCTTTGCATTTATGAAATCACGATGGGAAAAGCACGGTTATGGGTCAGAGATGTATTCTAGCTAGACTCCGCGGTTTAGGAAGTCTAATACAAAACAGTAAAATTACTTGTTCATTCATTGATGCATGTGATGTGTTCTTATATTGTGATAACATGATCCAATAGTGTTACTAATTGAGAAAAAAAAAACGTGTTGTTTGCAATAAATGGCTTGCTTCACTTTGCCTGGCCGCAAAAATGTGAGAAGAGATGAATTCTTATTGTACAATCATATTATGCCGCAGGTTCGATGCCGAGGCCCTGCCTAATCTGTTTGCGCCTCTCAATCTCCATCCTCTGCCACTCCTCGTCATTAATTGTGGGTTCTTCCAAACTCTCCGTAAATGCCATGCCTGGTGGGACCTTGGTGGTCCTTGCCTGCCAGACGTCCTCGCTACTTGGCTTGCCGTCTCCATACTTTTCAAACTCCTTCTGACGATAATGGTCTCTTATGGCATCCTCCTTCATCTTCCCTGAGTAACTCTTGATCCTCATGCAGAACCAAAAGTCCTCCCAGTGTTCGCTACAGGAGCGCATCGTGCCGTATCGGTAAATGCTGTTCCACTGGCCGCCGACAGACTGGCAGTGAAAGGCCATATCAAACGCCTGGCGGCAAGACATCTCTGTCGGAAGGGTCGATTCAGCCACGGGGTTATCGGAGGGTGGCGTGATTGCACGGTTGCTGGTTTGAGAGGGGGAATCGGGCGAAGATTTGAGGGAGAACCATGATGAAGAAGACGATGATGGCTTGGACGGTGTGGAGGATGATTGTGTTGGCGCTGGCGCCTTTTCTTCTGGCTGACTGCCCGATTCGTTCTGGAAAAGGGCGAGGAACTTTGCAATCTCGGGATCGATCTCGGAATCAGTCGTCTTAGTCGAGGATGGCGGGGTCGGCGCGGGAGCCTGTGAAGCTTGTTCCGGAGCGGGAGTCTTGGGGGGAGATGGTGAAGCCCAAAGCCAGCCCATTTTGAAGAATTTTTGATAGTAAACAGAAGAGAGCGTAAAGAATCAGGTAAAATCCCAAGGTGATATCGTCTTGGGCAGGTCGGACGCAGTCGAGAATGAGGGGAAGTCGGCAACCGTTACCATCAATGACCTCCAAGACGCCGCGTCTAGCCAATGAATGGTTGCATGATTTTTGCCATAGCTGCGCGTGTTCTGGTGGGGCGTTGTCGGTTCGGATCAGATTTCGTCCGTTTCGAAACTTAAGGTTATGGGGCGCGTTGGACCGCGCGGGCCTCGAAGTGGGGCCGCCAAGCGTGACATCATCCCACGCGAACACCGGGGCTGACTCTCTCGTGAAGAAGGAGCTAAGCAGCTCTGGTAAGGTGAGGCAGGCAAGCTAGTCGGTTGCCTTGATTCTCTTCCATTGCCTTCCATCCAGCTGTTCTCAACGTCCCGTCCTCAAACTCAATTCCACCGCCGCTTGTCAAAGCAACATGTGAGTCTGCATCGACACCCATCCAATGTTACCTACCAGAGCGCTGCTTCGCTCCGGCATGAGGCCTGCGCCTCGGCTGCAGATGACATGGGGCCCGCCCCGGCCATTTACTCAATCCCAGCGACATGGAGCCATCGTGCGTACCGCGTCCAAAGCGTGGGAGAGCACCGTAACCGGCGAAGAGAAGTCTGGGCACATCGCCACTTCGGAGAGCGAATCCATTCTCTTCTTTGACAGTAAGATTTCTGGTCACCCCTTCTCTCAGTGGAGTTATTCCTGCATCTGACCCAGGACCTCGCGTCACGGGTTTTGTTCCTACCCTCTCCTGATTTCGTCCTCCGCCGAGCATCAAGGGTCGCATCGATGCCCTTTACTGTCTCCATTTCTCTCCTCGACCACATCCCCTGCTTTCTACTCACTCACGGTTTTGTCCTTTTCACCCCCACCGCCGTTGTGCCCCTTGTTCAATGTCCATCTCGGCCAGCGCTTGCGCGAGAAAATAAGACTGACAATAGCTGGTAGACCTCTTTCCTCTTAAGCTCACCTACCTCCTCCGACGGTCATGGCAGTCAGACCGTGACCTGACCGACCTTCTCAAGCGTTTCGATAGCTCTGGCGGAGGCCTTGGCACCGACCCAATCAATCTAGTAAAACGAGCCATCCCCAACGACCTCCCAATCAAAGTCACAGAGATCCTGCCGCGACTCAAGGACGGAGGAGCTTTTGTAAAATTCAGCCATGGCTCCGACGTTGTACCAAAAGATATCGAGAGTGAGTCTGAACATCGTTCTAGTCCGCAATGACTTCTTCGTCGCTGTCTGAACTGGGTCTCCTCAACTCGTGTAAATGGGTGACTAACGACCCATAAGCATCGCTCGCTCGTTCGCTCGAAAAACATCCCCTCAGACCGTGGTTCAACCCCTTTCGTGGGGTTCAGGCAGGACTGGTCAAGGGAGTTCCTTGGCTAGAGGACCTCTACCGGTTTCCCAAAAGTCGTGTCAAGGTCGAATTCACAGGAAAAGATGCTGGTGGCGAGGCCGTCGAACTCTCACAGGAGACCCTCTACAGTCTGTTCCGCAGATACGGTAAAATCGCCGAGATAACATCACAGCCCTCCGACTCGAAGATTCTTCCAAAATATGCTTACATCGACTTTGCGCGCGTTCGCGACGCCATCATGGCAAGAAATTGTCTGCATGGATTCCTGGTTGACGAAGGTCTCGGTGGCGGAAAGATTGGTACAAGGCTTCGCCTATCCTACGAGCAAAAGGTCAAACCGCACAACATCTGGAACTGGCTCACTAGCCATCCCAGGGTGGTAATCCCCGTCGTTGCCGCCCTCCTTGCTGCCATCACAGTGGCCATCTTCGACCCCATACGCGAATTCTTCGTCAAGGCCCACATTCAACATTCTTTCCGATTGACCAACAACAAATTCTACCGATGGATCAAGAGCCAGACTTCCGACATTTTCTCCTCATTTGGGCACAAGAAGGCTGATAAGGCCGGGTTCAGTGCAGTTTGGCAGCATCGCCGAGACCTTATTGAGCAGATTCAGACCTGGCTCCTTGAGAGCTCCGACACTTTCATCGTTGTTCAAGGCCCTCGGGGTTCAGGCAAAAAGGAGCTCGTTTTGGACCAGTCACTCAAGGGCAGGAAAAACGTTTTAGTGATCGACTGCAAGCCGATCATCGAGGCAAGGGGTGAAAGCGGGACCATCAAACACCTAGCTGCCGCCGTGGGCTACAAACCGATCTTCGCTTTCTTGAACAGCATGAGCAGCATGATCGATTTGGCAGTTCAGAGCACGACTGGTGTCAAGGCCGGGTTTTCCGAGACACTGGAGTCACAGGTTGTCAAAATCCTTCACACAACCGCAGAGGCCCTAAAGGAAGTCTCCCTCGCCGGACGCGATAAGGATGGCAAGGACGGTGACCTTTCAGACGACGCATACCTGGAGGCCCGTCCAGACAAGCGGGCTGTTGTGGTCATTGATAACTTTTTGCACAAGAACGAAGGCTCGAGCCTGGTCTACGACAAGGTTGCGGAATGGGCTGCGGCCATGGTTCAGAACAATGTCGCCCACGTTATCTTCTTGACAGACGACACCTCTTACTCAAAATCACTATCTAAGGCGATGCCGGATCGCGTCTTCCGCCAAGCTGCTTTGGGTGATCTCTCCCTTGATGTTGCCAAGAAATTCATCATCAGCCGTCTCGAAGAAGACGAAATCGAAAAGGTCCGAGAACAATCTAAGGAGGCAGAGGAGAAGGAGGATAAGCCTGAGCAACACCAAAAACCCGATCTCTCGGAGCTGGACTCAGCAATTGGAATCCTTGGTGGCCGTCTCACAGATCTCGAATACCTTGCTAGACGCCTAAAGGGTGGCCAGAGCCCGCAGCGGGCCATTGAGGATATCATCAACCAGAGCGCCACCGAAATCGTCAAGATGTACCTATTGGGTGGCAAGGATACTGTCGAGGGCAAGAAATGGTCCACCGAGCAGGCATGGTACTTGATCAAGGCGCTTGCTTCTCACGATGCCCTTCGATACAACGAGGTTCTCCTGTCCGATACATTCGCCTCTTCCACTACCCCCGGTGCCGCGAACGGCGAGTCGGCCTTGGAAGGACTCACAAACGCAGAGCTTGTTACGGTGGAGACCTACAACGGCCGGCCGCAAACAATCCGTCCTGGAAAACCGATGTACCAAGCTGCGTTTAGTCTTCTGCTCGACGACCGCGTTCTGAAGGCGAAGATGGACCTGGCTCTTCTGAAAGAGCTAACCAAGGTGGAGGCCAAGGTCATTGAAAAGGCCGAGGGTGAGCTGGCTCTGCTGGGCAGCCTGCCGAAGCAGCCTGCTCAGACCGGTTCCCGAGTATCGTATCTACTCGAAAAGCTTGAGGGCAGCCAAGTCAAGATCGCAAAGTATGAGAAGGATATTGCAGCGCTCAAGACGGTTCTCAAGCACAATTACTGAGGCACCTTGCGATTGGAAGTTCAAACTCTGCATCAAAACCTAGACAGAGAACGGCCAAAGCCTAAGCATGACAGTCGATACCCTTCTCAACATTCTAAGCAATACCAACTTACTCATCACCAATCGACTCCATGCCTGTCAATCGCCACTCGTTCACACTTTTACTGCCGTGATGTCGTCGTCGTCAATACATATGGCGCTGCTAACTATCACGATATACGCTCAATTTCTGCGTTGTAAAGGAAGCAAAGTAGCATCGTGAAAGGCGTTGACATCACAGGCCGTATGAATTGCTCCTCCATATGATCCTCAATCAACAAGACTTTTGCTATGAGCAATTTGCAATGTTCCATTCATTGAGACACTCTGATGCACAATTACAGGCACCGTCTCTACTTTAGGACCTTAGGTAGGTAGGTAAGAGTGATACAGTAAGGTACGTACCTCTTTACCTTACGCAGTCATTGCAGTGCACTGTCCAGGGGCCCTCGGAGTCCTGGAACTCGCGGCCAATGAGACACTTGGCATCGAAGACCACATTGTTGTGGGAGTTCATGGCGACCTGGTTCTTGGCGGCACGTACGACCACAAAGACGCTCAAGACGCTCAGTGTCGGTGAAATCACTGCAAAAACAAGTTAGCAAAATGTCAAAAATTTGGCAGCATTGCGGGCTAAAACGGACACGAAGGAGGGCGTCGGGGAGCCCAGAAAAAAATTCCGTGGCCTCCGGCCACGATGTTGCAGCTTGCTCTGCGAGCTGAGAACTGACAATAAGAATTTCGAGAACCTAGTGACAGGACTGCCGCACAAGTACTATGTAAGGCAAAGCCTTGCACAACATAAGAGCAGAAACACCCCCCCAAGACAATACGCACTACCAAAACAGCTTGTAATACAACTACAACATCTGTCTCTGTGGAAGGCAGTCAGACTGGACATTATCTTAGACTCCGCATCGTCTCCGCTTGCTGAAGGAACCACCGCGGGGATAGAGGTAGACGACCGCCTCCACAGCCTTTTGGAGAAGCGCATAGAAATACTGTGTACGCGTGCCCCACGGGGTTTGGTTGGGGGCCCCTTGAAATGAGCATTCTACTGGTTGAGTACCAGGACGACACGACTCAGACCTCACCTACAGACCGGGAACTTGGCCGAAGGACACAACGGTGCAAAGTCGTCCTTGTAACGAAACCTGGTCACAAGGTCATGTGCTTGACAGTGCCGTCAGCCATCAATCCAATCAATGGAGGTCAATACTTCTCTGGAAAGCCGCATGCTCCAGCTAGGGTGCAGAGGAAAGCGATCATCGGCCCGATACCCCAATGCGACAACTCAAGCTTTGGCAGGCGACGATACAAGCATTTTTAGAGGGCTGGGCATTTTCTCGGCAATTCTGGGCATTGCGGGCGGCTCTTCAGCGCGATTTCTTGGCTACGACTCTAGCCGACGACACCTCATCAATTCGCGATTCGTAATTCAACAAAACAATTCAACTAAGACGGGAATTCTCACGTCAAAAATGCGCCACAAATCAATCAAGTGACCATGCGGCGTTTGCGCCGTCTTTTGTCGGTACTATGAAACTCCAGGGACGGATTTACACGAGCCGTTGCCGACTTGGCCCGACCAATTCCTCTGCGCCTTCGTACTATGGCACCATGTCAAGGCACCTGAAAAACCGTTCAGTTGGTTTTCAAGTGGATATGCTGTTAACTGGTCTGCCAAAGAAGACCAATGGCAAGCATACCGCCTCCAGATGGTGACGTCTTCATGCGGGCGTCGAAATGGGGATTTGATTTATCCTAGTCGAGCACGCTCTCTTTTTTGTCCACTTCCCTAGTTCCCTTCCAACCATCTCTGGGCATGGAGAACGCATTTTCCGTGCCCCAAACCCCGCAAACCCGGGGTCAAGAAAGCGTACCCGGTTTATTTTCTGTCACTTCTAGATTCTCGGAGCGCAAGCAGAAAGATGCAATGGCGACCTCACGTTACAATTGCAGAAGCTACGAGCACTTTGATGTCGACTACGACTTCAATCCCGCTGTTCTTGGCGCTCTCGAGAAGATCTCTTGTTCTGTCTTGGCTTTTCCCAAATTCCCCGAGATAAGTGGCGGCGTCTCCAAGCCTCCAACGACAAAAACCACAAACGATCCCGCCCTGAAGCGTTCCCCCCGGTCGATAGCCTACCACAGAAACGGCGCTACTCTCCAAACATAGTGGGATCGGCAATTGGGTGGCATCTCATCTGACGACGCCATTCCCGTCTTGCGCCGCACAGTAGCCCGCCCGCTCGTTTACCTCGCATGTATACGACAGGGGCAAATAAGACGGTCAACCTTCTCGGATGTGCTTGAGTCTTGCACTCAAATGTACTTCTGACGGTATCCGTCTGACGGGGTCCCACGTTTCAATTACTTCCTGTATCGAGTGGCCAGGGTTCCTGTCCTTATCTCTTCCGACACGGACGTTCCCACACAACGTCTGTTGCGTTTGCCAGCACTCAACGGCCGGGACGTGCTTTTCCTGGGGGAGAAAGTGAGGAGAACCGTCAGTCTGGGGAAACCCATAGGTTTAGACTGAAGAATACGGCTAGAGAGCAACGGACCTTCAGAACCATGAATCAGAGTCAACGACGGGACCGTTAACGGCCAAGGCTGATCCGAGGAGCTTAGCTTTTGCTTTCGACTTTGCTGCCTGCGGCGTCTAGCAGCCGGTATCATATTGTGCCGATCTCTGCCCAATTCCCCCAAAACAGAGGAGCGCTACCAAGGCACCGGGCTTTGGTCCGCAGAACTCACTTCGAATGACAGCCACTGCTAGTGGATATCTCAAATGTCGCACAACCCAGATGCGCCCTGGCGGAGCATCGTTACATCTCTTTCGACCGGCAGTCCAATAAGACCCGAGGATCTAGATGATGGACCCATGCAAGGCCGAACTCGCGAACCGTGTAGTATGCTCTCCGCTGCCTTGGTTAGACCAAGAGAGAGCCGCCACTCTCATGGTACCCAGCCGTGTCATTCTCCTACCATACCATACACCACGCGCGCGTGAGGGGAACTTTTTCTGCTCCACGGTCCATCCGAACAATGGCGACCATCTCCCTGCCCCCCGAACCCCAGCGAATCCACTTTCAAAGGTTTGGGCTTTCCCCATGGGTCGCCCCATTGTGGATCTATCGCTGGATGCTCGCATGCTGTGGTCCAGTCCATTGACATGAGAGGGGAGAGAGGGGAACAAAGCCGGTCTACCTAGTTCGCGTTGACAGACGCTTTGGAGCTGCCGTTCTTGCCTTGCGGGGGAAGGTGGTTGCGCCGGTCTGGTCTCTGTGAACCTTGTGCAGAGGTTGGGATGAGATGTGGGCGAGATAAATACCAGGCAACGCCCATCCCATGCTTTCTTAGGTTCCCCTCTTCTCGTCTGAGCCCTGTCTTTAGTGTAGGACGATCACTCTTGGATTCAAGGCACATTCCTTCGTAGGGACTTGATCGTTATCTCGCGATAGACCAAACGTAAAGAGCTCGAAGCACCAACACGTCCACTTCAACCAAGAGACTGGTAAAGCATTGAGTCGTTGTTAGCACTCAACGCGCCGCAGTAATGGCGGACGACAAGCACCTCGAGGGAGCCGCGGTGTAAGCATTCCTCACTCATAATGAATATTCAAACTGCGACTAACACTCTCAGCTCGGGAGACTTCTCCAACATGGAGAAAGCCCGTCGCGGATCCCAAGCAACAGTAGACCTAAACGATAACGTCGACGCAAAGTCTGTCCTCCACCTCTGGTTCCTCAATAGGACGTGAACTAACACACCCAACAGGATCAGGAACCCCCTTCTCGGCATAACCCGCGCCGAGCTCCTCCGCGATGTCGAAGCCTTTGCCCACGACAAGGGCCTGCAGGAGTACATCCCCGTCTTGAAAAAGGGCGCGCTCGTCGCCCAGGACCCGACGGGCTACGAGGAGATTGACGGCCCCGAGGCCCTCGACGCCACCGAGATCCAGGTCCTCCGCGATGAGGTCGAGCACAAGTGGCGCATCCCCAAGATCCTGTACCTCACCATCATCACCTGTTCCATCGGCGCCGCCGTCCAGGGTTGGGATCAGACGGGTAGCAATGGCGCGAATCTGTCTTTTCCTACGGTGTTTGGGATTGGGGGTACTTCGCATCATGATACTCTCCTTGTATGTTCTCACTTATACCCTCGCTCACTGACGGCTCAGGGTCCGACATGTGACGAGCTTCGCTTTCTTCGAATACTAACACTCTGAAAGGTCGGCCTCGTCAACGCAGCACCTTACATCGGCAGCGCTCTCATCGGCTGCTGGCTCTCGGACCCGCTCAACAACTTCTTTGGCCGCCGCGGCGCAATCTTTTTCGCCGCCAACTTTTGCCTCTGGCCCGTCATCGGAAGCGCCTTCTCCCAGACCTGGCCGCAGCTGCTCGGCTGCCGTGTCCTCCTCGGCATCGGCATGGGAGCGAAAGCCAGCACGGTACCCATCTTTGCCGCCGAGAACTCGCCTGCGCCGATTCGCGGCGCGCTTGTCATGACATGGCGTGAGTAAACCCCCTCATCGGGTTTGATACAGGTATCACGATCTGCTGTGTACTGACTACAACGCGAACAGAACTCTGGACAGCCTTCGGCATCGCAGCCGGAACGGCAGCCAACCTCGCCGTCGCCAAAACCGGCGCCATCGCCTGGCGCCTCCAGCTCGGGTCCGCCTTCATCCCGGCTCTGCCGCTCGTGCTGCTCATCTACATCTGCCCAGAGTCCCCGCGCTGGTACATCAAGAAGAACCGGTTCCCGGACGCCATGAAGTCGCTGCTGCGGCTACGCAACCACCCGATCCAGGCCGCGCGCGACATCTACTACATCCACACCCAGCTCCAGGTCGAGGCCGAGATTGTCGGGCGGTCCAACTACGCGAAGCGCTTTGTCGAGTTGTTTACCATCCCGCGTATCAGACGGTGAGTGATGATGACCATCATATGATGAGACGAAGAAAGAGTTTGTGTGAAATGAATGATCGAGACTGACGAGTGAGTGATATAGCGCCACGCTGGCTTCCTTCACCGTCATGATTGCCCAACAAATGTGTGGTAAGTTCAAGCCTTTCTACTCCCTCATCATCTTTACTCTGAAGCTTGTACTCACAAACGACAGGGATCAACATCATTGCATTCTACTCCAGCACAATCTTCAAGGAGGCAGGCACGTCCGAGTACAATGCCCTCCTAGCCTCCTTCGGCTTCGGCATGGTCAACTTCATCTTCGCCTGGCCCGCCATCTGGACCATCGACACCTTTGGACGCCGCTCCCTCCTGCTCTTCACCTTCCCCCAGATGGCGTGGACGCTGCTCGCCGCGGGTCTCTGCACGCTCATCCCGGGCACCGGAGGCGCTCACCTGGGCCTCGTGGCGTTGTTTGTCTACCTCTTTGCCGGTATGGCCCTCTCACCTCCATCCATATGGCTGTCAAAGTACCTTGAAGAAGAAAAACACTAACAAAGTCACAGCATTTTACTCACCCGGCGAAGGTCCCGTCCCCTTCACCTACTCCGCTGAAGTCTTCCCACTCTCCCACCGCGAGGTAGGAATGTCCTGGGCCGTAGCAACCTGCCTCTTCTGGGCTGCCGTCCTCTCCATCAGCTTCCCCATCATGCTCTCCGACCTCGGCGTCGTCGGCTCCTTCAGCTTCTACGCGGGTCTCAACATCGTCGCCCTCGTCATGATCTTCTTCTGGCTCCCGGAAACCAAACAGCGCACCCTCGAGGAGCTCGACTACGTCTTCGCCGTCCCCACCCGCGTCTTCATGCGCTACCAGCTCACGAAAGCCCTGCCCTACTGGTTCAAGCGGTGGGTTCTCTTCCAGAGGGATGCTACGCTGGAGCCGCTGTACAAGTTTGATCTCACGCACGAGGATCACCACGGTAGCGAGACGTACGAGAAGACGCAGGTCGAGCAGCGGGATCAGAAGAGGAGCGGTTCGGCTACCGGCGTAGACGTCACCGCCTCGTAAAAGGATGGAGCCGAGCCGAGGTAGCGGATAGACTTGTAGACGAAGACTAAACGCGGCGGGGCGAAGTTATATTTGCACTGACTGGCCTGGGAGCGCCGTTGGATCCGTGAACGTTGAGAATGGGGGGGCTTTGATACCAAATGAGGCTGAGCTAGAACGGGAGGACGAGCATGGGAATTTTACGGCGTGTAATACACACGCGCGCCTACGTAATCAGCGTCGTCGAGTTCACTTCGTTTACTCGGAGAATTGTTTGTAGGCGAGGGGAGGCGAGGGGGTGCGGCTGAGTGGACTGCCCGCCCACAATCCGTAATCGAAACACATCACGAAGATACCGGAACACATCCCGATGATGCCACTTTGCGTGCGCCCCCTCCCTTTGTAGCGACGTAGCATAGTCTGTAGAGAATGACTGCCGAATGTGTAAAGAGCCCCTCCAATTTTCACGATTCATGACAGACAAACATTCTTTACCACAAAAGACTTTTCAACCACCCTGCCACATCTCCCGCCACCTGACCGGCCCGCTTGACACACAGAAAGGCTGGAGGGGTGTGGTTGAGAGGCAGAAGAAAAATGTCTCTTGACGAATCTGGCTCAGGGGCGGCAAGGCGGTAAGAACATTTTCAGGTCTCAGTGATCTTCTCAGACGGCGCGAAAGACGGCGGCTTTTCTAAATGGGTCCTCGGATCCCCCTGGTAGCGGGGGCCGCGTTCAATTGACGTATGCACCCCGACAACCCCGAGTTCTTTTCCCGGGACGACGTTACCAAGTGCGGAAGAACGCGTGGGAAGAGAAGCCCTTCTCTGGGAGACACGGAAGAGCGCGCTCTCAGCCCTTGGCACGAGGGCAACGGCAGCTAAGCGTGCTAAGCCAGCCAAGGGCTCGTGAAGACTTTCCCGAACTGCCCGCCGCGAACAGTGATCCAAATCGAGATTCTTGTCCCGCCGCTCTCGTGTTGAGTCTAGCGTCAAACCCAACAATGCAGACCGAGGCGATCGATTATGAAAGATTTTCGCAACACGGGCTGTAGATCCGATCCAACCTCCGACATGCAGATTCAAATCGTCGAGAATGTGAGACGTGGCACCGCTTGTGCTGCAGGAATTCAGAAAGGGGATAGGTGAACCGTAAGAGGCATATTACAGTGTTAAAAGCCACATGAAACACATACTTGAAGAGTAAAAAGAAAGAGTGCGCAAACAGGCCATTTCGTCTCGTGTGGAATAGAGTTCCTCGCCCGTGGACCGTGCCTCTTGCCTGAGAAGGTGAGGAGAGATCGTGTTACACCGCCGCAACCTCGGAATCTCTAGCGCTTGCTTTTCCAGGTACCCGCGTTTTTCGAGGGTCTGAGGTGTGTGATGTGTCTCTGACGATCAGCTCGGGCTGAAAACCGTTCTTGGGATAACAAGAGGAACCGTGAGGGAGTCGGTTGTGTCATTGGTCGCCACTGGCGCGAATCGCAATGAAGCCACCGTCGGACTAGGCTGGCGCCGTTGAGAACGCCGGCTGTTAGGCTGCCGCGAGCCGCGGACGGGGCGGCTGGTTGGTCGGGTTTCGAAAAGGGCTAGTGAAGAAGAGTTGGCGACAGGGAGGGCGACTGACAGGCCACCGAGTGGGCGCAACCCGTACATGGTAGATGAGTGGCCGACCATGTGGCCGTTGATATTGCGAGAGAAAACCTTGAAGCTCGCCTGCGACCTGTACTGAGTATGAGAAACAGAGCGGAAATTGAATTGACTTCGTGATCAATGGATGCAGGATTGAGCGGCCTGTCGAAGCAGGGACCCATGGGCAGGTCTAGACGGTCCAGACTCGAAGAGACTTGAACGCGCGGTGCAAGCCAACTTCTGTCACAGCTTGTCTCTCTCTTGTCCTTGTAAGGCTCCGCTAGGACGCAGGGGGCGGGGATGGGGGGGAGGAGAGCTGGGAGACTGGAGACTGGCAGTCGAAAAGGAGGAGACTGGAGACAAGATGCGGCGGACGACGAATGGATGAGTGGATGGATGGATGGGTGGGCGGGTGGCTTTTCGTGCTAGCGACAAGTGTATGAGGGTAGAAACGAAACAGAGACGACGTCGGCTTGTGGGAAGGCTGAAAAAAGGACGGAAGTAGTCTGGTGTTTTGGTGTGATTCTGTAACTGTGAACGGCATTGATTGCCTGGTGTGACGGGCTGGTCCGGCGGAGGTTTGTTGTTGTCTTTTGGGCCCTTGGGGAATCTGGAAGGGTTGCAACATGGGAAGGGGGGCCATGCCAAGAAGGGTGACTCTCCAGATGGGGGTGGAAGGGACGTGAGGGAGACGACACCCACAGTCCATCGAGGAGAATCGGTTCCAAGAGGTTGGATGACGGGCAAAGAGCTAAAGATGGATCGAATGATGGGTGAGTGGATTTGCTAGTCGTCAAGCGGCGGATGGATGATGCTTCCAGCAACTGTCAAACGCAAACATGTGCCGGCGCGGACAGTGGGGGATGACTTGGATGAATGGGTAGGTGATGGAAGGGTGATGCCTCTCTCGATGCCGAAGGAGGGAAAGAGAAAAAAAACTCCACGCTCGTATTCCACCAAAGACGGTGGTGGGTGGAGACCAATAAGTTAATTGGGGTGCTTTTTTTTCTGAGTGTTATTCCTGGATCGCGATACGGCAGTGGCAGTGGCATTGACAGTGCTAAGTGGCCACTGGCGCAAGACCACAAGTTGGCGCCGGCGGCAGGCGGCTGACCGGCCAGATCTGCGGAATTTACTGAGTGCTGACAGAACGTGGAAGGCGAGCCGCAAGAGCGACCTGGCGCACCTGGAAGGTAGGTATTCCCAAAAGCGCAAAGGGTCAGCAGTGATCCACGCAAGGAGATGTAAAAGGTTAAGCTTCTAACACTCCACCGATGTGGGAACACAATGGAGCGATAGTCGGCCATCTCTCGCAAATCGAGCAGCTAAACAACAGGCGACTCGTCAGCCGGGTGGACCTGACCCAACTGACCCAGTTGACACTACCTTACCGTAGTAGGTACTCCGTACTCCGTACTCAGTTCAGATCTTGCCATTGGACGCGTGAACCGGGCAGCTTCCCTGATTACTCCGTGGGAACACTGCGACTCCAAGTCTCCAATAACCAGGGCAAGGCCGCAAGATGGCCAACAATGGAAGGGCCAGCAGAAGGCGCAGACCTTGACCCCAGAGAGCAGCGCTGGGAACTGAGGTGCTTGGGAGAACCGCTTGGAGAATGGAACCCGAGGACCCCAGAATGAATTGGGAGGGACCCTTCCTCCTCCCACTGCTTGTTCCCACTGGTTCCCACCCAAGGTCGACCCTTTCCCACGCAACACTGGCTCAGCCCACCCCAAATGACTCCAAAACAGTCACCGGGGCCTTCAGACTGCCGGTACTGACGCTGCCCTAGAAGAATATGTGACGATATTAAGGAACAAGAAACCGAATGAAGGGTGCTCGCATGGCAACATGGGGTCACAACTTACACCATTGTAATCTCACCAAAATGTGCAATCTCACTCTCATGCAGCAGCACATGCAACTACACCAAGGCACCAAGTTCAACAACCAATCGAGTGGCGACGAAGGAACATCAAGCTTCACTCACTCGTAAGCGGTTCTGCGGCACGTCTGATGTGCGGTACTCGGACAATCAATTCGAGGAACCTTGAAGTACACTAGGGAACTCTCAGTGCAACCTTTTGATAGCACACACATGCTCACAATCACATAATTAGGTGCGACTACAGACGTGTGTACTATGTAAGCAAGCTCTGTGCGAGTGTCAAAACTTCGGATATGTCATGATATGCATCCCAGACGGAAAGGAGCAATACCGACGCGTCCCTCGACCTTGCCGGGCAGTTTCTTCCTGCAGGCTGCAAGGCACGTACATTCGCGGTTTATGACCAACGTCCACAACAATAACATTCATACGTCGTCATGTCCCTGTAACTTGCAAGTACCGCGTCCAGTGACCCCAATCGCACGGCATTCCATAGCGGAAGTAAAATAGATGCGTAGAAAAAAAACCAAGAAGTCCACCGGCGAGCACGGCATCATCAAGGCCCACCTGAGAAGAGGCACCTCCACCCAGCTGAGGTACGTATATCTGCGTGCCCTGCTACAGTCTACAAGGGAGGTACGGGGATACCTGGGTAGCCTCTAGGTAGGTTCTGAAGTATCCGTAGGTGGATATCACAGACCATCCACCAACCAAGAATCGGGAACCGCCAGTCCTGGGTACCGGCCAATCCCAGCAATCGATCCGAAAACTTCTGAAACTCGCCTGTCAGTGGCTTGTCCCCTGCATCAAAGCTGCCAGCCCGTCCTGCAGCAGAAAGCCTGCCACTTGTAGATTTCTGGCCCGTTTTCTGCTTGATCTGGCTGTCTGCTCTGGCTCTCCACTGTCCAGGAATTCAGAGTACGTACTCAAGGTACTCTGCCAGAGACGAGCACATTGACCCAGAACCAGAAAGAGAAAAAGAAAAAAAACTAGATGCACCAGAAGGGGGGTGCCCCGGCTTAGCAGAGAAAGGAAGAAAAAAAACCGTTCAGGGGTCCCGCCAAGATGCACGCTCCAAGACAGCCGTCCCTCCCACTAACGCGTCTAGCGGCGGCGGCCCCCTTTCGTCCTGTCTTTGCGGCTTTCCGCTTGCCCTGCCACTAGGTGCCTTGCTTGGTGCTTGCCGTGTCGCCTTGCACTTTGATGATCGTCGACCTACTAACCGCACCTTACCATCCCACGTCTCCATCCTGTTTCCCTAACTAGAACAGAACCTTGCCGTCATTCTCTCTGCCATTTTTGGCTCGTCTTTCGCTTAAACCCTGAGCTTCTTCCCCTCCTCGCCTTCTTTTTCATCTAGACTCCCGCTCGTTTCGACCTCTAGATTTCCTCTCGTTCGCTCTCTCTCTTCTCTTCCTCCCCCGCCCTCTTCCCTACCAGTCCTATCCCGTCCTACCCTCCTCCTCTAAAGATACCCTTTTCCTTGTAATCACCTTCGCTTT